AGCCCAACATGGATCCCACATTAATATCACCGGGTATAAAATATTAATATCTTTATATGGATTCAATGACATAAATCAGATTTATTAGTATATATACATATATATATATATATATATATATATATATATATATCAGGATGTCTGTCACGGATAGACTCCCAAACTACTAAACCGATTTTAAATTTGATTTGCTCACCATATGCATTTACATACAACTTAAGTTATAGGGTATATACTAAAACTCACAAACCATATTTTTTTTTTAAAAAAATATTATTTTGTTTTGGGACACAACACAGTGTTACTGACTACGTACAATATATATCATATTATTATTTTATTTTTATATCATCCACATATTCCATTATTTACGATTGTTTGCCGCAAAAATAACAAAATGACAATTTAATCGAATAGAGTGCAAGTGATGCAACAACTCTATCGTAGGCAAGGTCAGGTCAGTTTAGTTCCTAAAATATAAATAAGATTTTACAACAGTTTACGATCTACTGTTGTATTGTGTATTGTCTTTTATATAATATTGATTGAAAATAAAACGACCTTCGTTTCAAATACTATATATGGTCGTCAATTTATCGCATGTAATTGGATTAAAAACGGCTTAGAATGAGGTGCGCGAATTTATCTGGCTTCTTTGGGACAGAAATATCGAGAAATTGCGAAGTTTTGAAAAAAACATAATTTATGATATGTTAATTTTATATGGTTATTTTTGACATTAAACAATCCCAAAGTTTCAATAGTAAATTGTACAAAACCGGTCAACAATGCTGCGAGAACAGAACATTTCTCGAAAAGTTTTTAAGTAAGACTCTCAATTTCCACATCTATTTCTAAAATGATGACAATAATAAAGAGTACATATTATGCATATATATATTGCATAAATTTATTGGAACTTGATGTTATGTAAGTTCTATATTTATTACAATTTTGAACTTGAAATTATCAAATAGATTGAATTTGAAATATTTAAGAATATCAAATATTTTCGAAGCTACTGAACAACGTAGAAAATCGTAATTCATAAATCTTTTTCAAGACTCTTGTGTAGCTTATTTATAATAACTAATTAAAGTATGATTATATTTTATTCCATTTGCATTTTAAATATTTCTTTCGGATTTTCTGAACAAGTCGATTTATTAACTCGACCATAAAAATTGTAATTATTCAATTAAACGTTTAATGAGCTGCTGAATCATTTATTTTAAATATCAAAGTCGTATTCTTTTTAATCATTTGCAAATAAAAACGAATTTCACAGTATGTCAGCTGAAGCTTTATATCTCATATTAAATGCTGATAATTAATTTCACGCAATTATTAAATTATATAAATATAAAACTCAAGGCTTTCTTGACGTGTCGAGTTATTCGGAATCGTTTGACACAAAAATTGGAAAAAGTGTACGTATGTGGGCAATAAATTGACTTATTAACTTCCCGTACGATAAGTTATGGTAATCGCAAAAAATCTAAAATGAAAATTTTTATATATCTTTACGTTTGAAAGGTTTAGAATACCTTAGAAAAAATGGATGTATGTGTGTGTTCGGATACAAATTTTCGTCGACGATGAACCAATTCTGGAAATAAACTAGTGGTCTATGGCAGCATATTAATAATTGATGGAACTTCCCGCACCAAAAATTTTTTTTTTTTTTAAAAGAATAATTTTTTTTAACCTTTGAAAAAAATAGATTGTTGAGAAATTGAAATTGCTTGAAAAAACTGACTTTTTTGGAAAAAAAATGATTTTTTGGAAAAAATGTTTTCTTTATTTTGAAATATTTTGGAAATTTTCAACTTTTCGAAGCAATCACGCTGCTCAAGCTGCATAGAGACGAAATATCGAAGCGCATAAGCGCCGCGTCGCCGTCTTACGGACTAACGATGTTACGGAACTCTTAGAAATATAAACAAAATTTATACGTATTATTAAAATCCCCATAAAAATATCTTATATTTTGATGTGCATATGTCAAATGATCATTTTTGACCGCTAAATGGCATTTTTTTTTCAAATGGCATTTTTTTCAAAAATGATCAGTCTTTCATCTTGTCAATACAAGTTTTTTAAATTATTAAAATCAGACGCTCCCTTCTCTTAAAAACTGATATACTATTTTGTGGCACATTTTGCCCCGTATCTTCGAAAGAGCTAGACCTGTCTTTGCTAAAAACTAATCAGCACGTCTCCTTATCAATAGCAATCGAATGTTTTTTTATTTATTGAAATCAGTTAAACCGTGTTCCCGAAATCGTTGACGAAGATTTGTGTCCTCACACACACACACACGCACATACCCATACATCCGTTTTCTCTATGCCAAAATGTTCAGATATATAAAGATTTTTATTTTCGTTTTTTTGCGATTACTACAACTTACCCTACGAGTCGTTAAAAAATCTTTTCGATAGATAAACTTTTTGTGGTAAGGATCCACGAGCATACAATGGCGCAACTAAAATCTCCTCCTACATATGAAGTTTAATAATTCAGTTAACTCCCAAAATCTAGTTAGCCAAAAAGCGCAAAAGATCAAAATCAAAATCCGGCAGAGTCGATATTGGATATTACTCGATACCATTATTAAACATGCACAACCTCGTCAATGCGGTCGGTTATCGGAAACAAATATCGACTGTTTATTTATTAATATGCAATCCGACCATTGGCTACAGCAACCACCATTACTGTTTCTACCGCAGCACCCAACGTGTTACATATATATATATAGTATATACTGCCGAAATATAACGAATTCGACAGATGGAAATACTTTTACGAATCTGTTGAATAAATGATTCGCTTTATTTCGAACACAGGAAGTCAAATTGAAATCCAGCCGGTGCAAAAACAAAAGGTAAAAGATAGTGGGAGAGCTGGGAGAAATTTTGTGAAATTTTGTGAATAGTCATCGCAGTGTTTCAGGTTCAATTTGTATTTTGGACAACCAGATATCTAAAAATACTTAAAAACAATAATGTAATTAAAGTCATACTTCAAATATGACATGATCGGTTTGTCATTGTAATTATAGTTCATTTAGAAATGAACTTTCATTAGAGAAATGAAGGAATTGCTGATTAATAATTTTTTTAATATTCGTTCACACAGTGGATTATGTTATTAAACAGCGCCTAAACAAATATTGTTTTCGCAATTTCACTCATCATGTAATAATTGTGTTTGAAGAACTTCATGTTATTAAAATTAACATGCATTCATTGACTGCTTATATTTTTTTCCTTATTCGCTGGCGTTATTATCTCATTCTTTGAACAGCTGTAATACCTGCCTAGCCTAAAAAATATTTTCCATTCAGATATCATCAGACAGTAATGAGAATGCAGTTTCATTCAAAATAAAGATCATAGGTTTTTCTGATTAGTTGTTGGTATTATGGCATTGGAAGATTTGTAGAATTATCAAAACTTAAAAAAAAAGTAAGGCTGATCTGTTTTCTGTTAAGTGTGAAAATTTTGCATATCTTTACGTTTCAAAGGTTTCTGAACATTTTGGCATACCTTAGAAAAAATGGATGTATGTGTGTCTGTGTGAGTTTGGATACAATTTTTCGTCCACGATTTCGGGCGTACAGATCAAGCGATTTGAAAATTTTTTGATTCCTATTGATAAGGATAAGATAAGATTGATTAGACGTCCTGATTAGTTTTTGATAGAGGCAGGTGCAGACGTTACGGAGATACGGAGCAAAAAGTATCAAAAATGGTGATTCAGTTTTTGAGGGAACTGAGAGTCCTATTTGAATGATTCAAAAAACATTTTATTTGTATTGACGAAATGAAAAATTGATTTTATTTTGGGAGGGTAGGTCTAGCGGTTTTGGAAATACAGAGGAAAAAATGATATTTGGCGGTCTAAAATGATCATGAGACTTATACACATCAAATTATTAGATATTTTATAGACATTTCAAACATGAATACTAATTTTGTTTAAATTTTGATTTCTCTACCAAGATTTTTAATTTTTAAAGTTTAATCAAATTTCTAAATTTTCAAAATTTTCAAAAATATACGAAGTATAATACTTTGAACATAAATTTTAAATTTACAATTCAGTTTAAAAATTATATATTTTATATGCGTTATACTAAAACATATGTCCTCAGATGGATTCATTCGGAATTTCTTAATGTAAATATTCTTAAGTGTTTTGAGCAATAAGATCATCATTGTATACGAGTATATATCGTATTATATAAACGATTGCATATAAAGTAATTAAAATTATCTTTTTGAAAATATTTTAAACAATTGTTATTAATCATTGATCAATATTTATTGATTATTAATTTTTATTTTGCTCGAATATTTAATTCTGGTATGGAGAGTTTCAGCAATTTGCCTTAAGGCACGATGCCATACACCACTAGTTAAGTTAATATATTGTTTAGAGTATTTCTCCCAGATTATTTAGTGCTGTAATATCAATAAACTTATTTTTGTATATACTTGTTTATGATGAGACAAAGTTTCATTCTCGAATTTGTACGATTTTTATTAAATACATTTTTTACAAAGTCCCCGTTTACTCAAATTCTATCTTTAAATAATACCAAATGCACTCGAAACTTGTTTCCATAACAATTATTGCCATTTAATAATTCAAAATGTCTCGCAAACAACATTATTTCCATTTAGATCGAATGTGCATATTCGATATTTCATTAATGATTCGTGTGTGGTTAATAAAGGTCATATCGATATTGGAAATGCAAATGAAAATTTATTTAAAGCTAAAAATTAAAAAAGGTGGTGTGAGAGGTAATGATTTTTATAATTAATTGAGAATAATGCAAACAGTACCTATACCTCTACCTATACCTATACCTATGTTTTAATTATGAAATACAGAATGGGCATTTTGATTTTTAATCTAAATTTCAATTTGTTCAGTAAATTGTATATAATATTGAATGTTAATATTTTCTTTATTATTATTTCCAGGTGGAGATGCTCTACCAGCGCTATTTCCTTAGAATGAACCAAAGTAACATGACGCACCTCTTAGGTCTTTTAATAAGTTTGGCAGCCGGATTGGCCCTAGTGCACGGTGCTGCCCTCTGGACACACGGAGTAGAGTCGAACTATCAAGACCCTTTGTGGGACCTTAGTGGCCCAGAACAGGGAAGCAGACAACAATTTAGGGATTATATTGGGGTTGGGCTTATGTTGACGTGCTGTGCCATCATTTATGGAGGTAGAGATAATTGATTTTTTTTTAATTTTTATTGTGATGCAGAATGTCGTGGATGCTATAGCATTCAAATTTTAAAATCAATTATTTGAAATATTATAGCTGACTAACTTATGAAGCGTAATACTTGACGTAGATGCTATAGCATTCATCACATATATATATATATATATATATATATATATATATATATATATATATATATATATATACGATTATAAAATGATATCGTAACTACACCTATAAAGCATAATACTTGACGTGGATGCTATAGCATTCATCGCATATATACACGATTATAATGTGATATCGTGACTACACTTATAAAGCGTAATATTTGACGTAGATGCTATAGCATTCATCGTACATATACAATATAGTACTACACTTATTTATCGGTGTCAAATTTAATTTCGCATATCACAGCTATTTAAATATTTTGATGAATGATTTTTTACCTTTTTGAAACTATTACTTTTTGCAAACCTGTTAGGTAAATTAGGATATTATACTTTATTTAGTCACTGTACAGTTTAATAGAAAATGTAGAAGTCTTTCTCTACAAGAACAAGATACGATATTAGAAGACAATTTATTTTAAAACTAAATATAAAGTTTTCACATATCATATGGACGAAAACAAGGAATGACGTCATTAAATCATTAAAGATCTAATCTAAATTAAATTCTTACTCAATTAAAAGTCATTACGTAATAAATTTGATAGTTTTATAGTAGAAGTTAAGTAGAAATATTTTTTTGTATTGTAAAATTTTTGAGTAAAGTAAACCAAAATATGACTTGCATAAGGTTGAAAAAATAATGTATTTGCAATTTTAGACTTGTTGCGATATTTATTAAGCTGAATTATATAATTTATCTGCCAAACATATACTGTTGACTGTTAGCTTATATTATCTTAATTTATTACACATCTCAGCTGCTTTTGGGCAATAATAATGTGTCTACATATTACATTTTTCTTGTATATTATGTTCTTATTTTATATAGGCTCATAATTTCAGCAAAATTCAAATTTCAAGTGAATTGACATTTCTAGCAGATGACAATTCAAATGTTCATTAAATCTTAAAAATTTCTTTTGACAAACTCTAAAAAGATTATCAAAATCCGAATAACCGTTTAGAAGAATTTTATATATATGATATATCCTATGATATATCCTATCCTTATATTTAAAGTTACGAATTTTGGTTGGATACGATTTTCACCTTATTTTTTTTAACTTCCCGAAGGAGACCTTGTCTCTGCCCAAAAATTCGATTAGCTATTTTTTTAATTTTTCTATAATAATTCATATTCTAACATAATTATTTTATAAAGCATTCATTCTTTAACCGTATATGGTCTTATGGAACATACTAAAATATTACAGGTCAACAAGTTAAAAATCATCAAAATTTGTAAAAAATACACCATTCATCCACATTTTCTCAAAAACTGCTAAATCGATTTTGAAAATTTAAGAAGCATTCGATGTATCTCGATAAGAAATGTCGTTTGTCAGTTTTGTGCGACAATCTGTCGAGCCGTTTCTTTGTAATTTGTAAAAAAGTGTTATACTTTTCGTCCACATTCAAGCTCATACTACCGAATCGATTAGAAAAAATCAAAAACTGTTCGAAAGATATTATTTCGGAATCGTGCTGATTAGTTTTGGACAAAGATCGGCCGAGCCGTTTCTTTGTAATAAACTGTTGGAAAAAATTTTGATGAAACTTTTTATGTCAATAGATATCATGGTTCTAAAGAACATACTAAAATTTTACGGTCTTATAGCAAGTAGTTTAATTTTAAAAATTCATCAAAGTTAGAAAAATATTGTAGTCAAAATTGTTATCAAAAGTCGCTCTTGTGTTTTTATTAGTCAAACATTGGTAATTTATTAAAAATGAAAATAATAAGCTAAAAATAATATAATATAAAGCTAACGTTACGGCCCTACGGTTAATAGTTTAATGTTAAAAATTCATCAAAGTTTGAAAAAATATTATCGTCAAAATTTGTGTCAAAAGTCGCTTTTGTGATTTAGTCAAAATTTGAATATCACAAATTTAAAAGTCATTTTTTGGAATCATCGGCAAATTAAGTCTACAAAGCTTCTCTAGTTGTATAAAAAATGTTACAATTAATTTAAATCATTATAAAATATCAAGAACTCAAATACATGATTTACGTAATCGTGCAGTGAACTAATTTCATCTAAACATCTAAATTTCAATTTAAATTTTTCTTTTTTTTTGTCCATACAATGTCAATAAGTACTGAAGTGTTGTTATATATGTCAATAACCACTGATTGGATTATATTATTATAAATTTTGAGTGGAATACCTGCCAGTAGAAAAACTCACATTATAAACTATAGTATGTGAATTAATTGTAATTATAATTCTATCTGTCTGTCTGTCTGTAAATCCCAATTTCTGTTGATTATTACACATTTCGGGAAGTTCATGTAACTTGCCTCAAGACAAAATACCAATATCAATTTAAAAATAGCAATATTGTTAGAATTTCCAACCACAAAAATCTCACTCTATTTCACCTTATCTCAATCTACTGTCCCCATACCACCTGTATCTAATGTATAAAATAATTGAAAAACTGTCAATACGCACACACCCCAGACAATCTGTAATATAATGTAATGCAATAAATTTATCTCGCCAGTGTATTTTATTTTATTTTATTTATATATTTCTTAGGTTTGATGGCTGTTCTGTCTAGACCGGCCCTGAACGAAATTCATTTGCTGGCCGTCTCCTACGTCGTCCTGGTCACGTTCCTAGGACTCGAGATATGTCTGGCACTAACGGCGGCCCCGAGGTAAACTTCGACTGAAAGTATTCAGACATTATATAATACTGTTTGTAGACATTTGAAATTAATTAAAACAATGACACGTAGGTAATGAATTATATTGGTCGGTAAATAATTGAACGATGGGGGATAGAGTTATAAGAATAAAAGATACTGCTCGGAAAGGAGGAGAGCAAATATGTTTCTTTTTATGCGTAACTCAAGTTTTTACATATTGTTCATGAATTTAAAAATCGTCAAAAAAAATCACTATGAATATCAATACGTCTCGTTGCAAATCATATCAATCAATCATTCAATTAAATTTAGGTATAAAAATGATACATTCAACTTATTTTCCCACAATGGCGACAAAAATTTAGCATAATCTTATGTATCTAAAATAGTTCTATTACTGCATCGAATATATAAACTAGTGATGCATGATGGCTTCCTGGCAATTGATCCGTAGAAACTAGTGCCTTTAGACAAATTGCTGGAACTTCCCGTATCGTAACGAAATGTTCGAGAAATATTAAATGTTTTCAAATAGATTATTATAAATACTGTAACATTGTCTAATATTTATAAGAATTATATAAACTGAATTGCAAAGTTGAAATTATTTAGTTAAAGTATATGAGTGGGCTTTAAAACTTTGTCCAGAATTAAAATTGAAATCTGAATTATTTTTGATGAAAAAAAAATGGATTTTTTTCCCAAAAGCTATTGTTTTGTCAACACAAGCTGTTTTTAACTTCCCGTAGGGTAGTTATAGTAATGGGCCGAAAATCGAAAATGAAAATTTTTGCATTTCTCGACGTTTTGAAGGTTTCTGAACATTTTGGCATACCTCAAAAAAAAAATGAATGTGTGTGTAATCTATAATTTTCTTTTCTTCTATTTCTAAGAATTATATAAAAATTTTGAAACTAAATTTAAAAGTAAAATTATTTGTTTCAAGTATATAAGTGAACTTCAGGATGCTGAAATTTTAATAAAATTCGATATTAATTTCCGATTTACTTTTACAAAATAATGTTTTTAAACTATGAAAATTTTAATAATTTTAATAACATTAAACATTTTTGAAAATATGATTTTTTTTTTGCAAATCCTGAAATATTTCGAAAATTTGAAAAAATCAAAAATATGTTTATTTCTGAATTCTTCTTTTGAAACTGCTAGACTGCTAGACTTATGTTCTCCAAAAAATAATCATTTCTTCTGTCAACACAAGTAAAATATATTTCGAATGATTCGAATTGGTTGCTCCGTTTTTTTTCTCAAAAAATGTAATATTCAGAACATTTAGCTCCGTATCTCCGAAACGGGTTGATCTAATTTTGCTAAGAACTCGCCATCATCACGAATCGAATGTATTTTGAATCAAACTAATCGGATGCCCCGTTATCGCAAAAACAGAAATTCCATTTTTAGCACTTTTTGCTCCGAAACGGCTGGACTTGTCTCTACAAAAAACTAATCTGTACGTATCCCTACCAATCAGATTCGAATATGATTTTTGAATCGTTCGAAATCATCGACGAAAAATTGTTTTCACACACACACACATATATACATACATACATCAAATTTTTCTAAGGTGAAGATGTGCAAAAAAAAACATCTTCAATTTTTCAGCCATTACTATTAATTGAGATAACCAGAAGATAATTACAATAGAAAACCATTGACCGTCAGTGCTGGATTAACCCATAGGCCGGTGAGGCCCGGGCCTAGGGCGGCACAATTTGGGGGGCGGCAAGTTTTTCAGAATGTCAAAATTTTAAATCCGAAAAATTGTCACGGCAATTTATTTTAAGAATTGATCCTGATCTAGATAATTTTCTATGACATAGAATGCTATTCGTTTTCTAATCAAACTTATTCGAGGGCGCCTCATTAATACTTTTATTGATGTATCATGTTCAAAATAAAAATTATCAAATTGATAAGCTTTTTTTGAAAAAATATTGAAGCTCTGTTCATTTTTTGTAACTTTATTAAGGAAAATCTTACATACAAAATGTTTTCAAATGGTTTTAAATGGTTTCTTATTTTATTTTGGGAATTAATATAATATATTAACTGTTATTTTGTGTTGATTTAATTATGTCTTAGTTCGTATATATTTTTTTTCTTTTAAATGTATTCTGTAAGATGAAACTAAACCTAAACTAAAATATCTTGGCATTGGCAACTACAATACATTGGCATTCCCTTCACGGGTAAGTTATAGTAATTTTAAAAAGGAAACGTAAATGCAATTGTTTATAAATATTTACGTTTTAAAACCTTCTTAACTTTTTGGCATACCTTAGGAAAAATGGATGTATGGATGTGTATTTGCGGTTACATTTTTTTGTCGACGCTTTTGAGACGAATCAATTGATTGAATGATTCAATTGTCGGGAAGATGTGCTGATTAGTTTTTGGTAATGGCAGGTTTATTCATTTCGGAATAAATAAAATGATAAAAAATAGCTCTTCATTCTTTTAGAGAGCCCCATTCTCTATCCGATTGGGAAATTCAAAACTAAATAAGTACATTAAGTAAATTTTTGCGATGGTAAAGTGAGAGTGCGTTTTGGTGATCCTAAAAAGTGCCATTTAGTGGTCAAAAATGATCAATGGACATTTGCACATCAAATTATCAGATTTTTTTACAAAAAATTTAATAATCAGTACAAATTTTGTTTTCATTTTTAACTTCTCGCAGGGTAGTAGTAGTAATAGTAGTCGCAAAAAAATGGAAAATTTTCTTTGCATATCTTTACGTTTCGAAGGTTCCTAAACATTTGTGGCTTAGAAAAAATAGATGTTTGTGGGTCCGTGCGTTTTTATGTAAGAAATATTATATGAATGTATGTAATTAGGACGAATACTAATTTTCGTAAACCGTTTCGAGAGCACGGATCAACCGATCCTACTGATAAGGAGGCGTGCTGATTAGTTTTTGGCAAAGGCAGGTTCAGCCATTTCGAATATACGGGACAAAAAGTGCCAAAAAATGGAAATTTGGTTTTTGAGAGAACTGAGAGTCCGATTTGAATGATTCAAAAAACATTTTACTCATATTGATGAAATGAACAATTAACCAGGTTTTGGAAAGTCAGGTATAGCGGTTATGAAGATTCAAAAACAAGTTATAAAAATAACGTTTGGAAAAATGATTATTGGACACATGCACATCAAATTATCAGATACTTTATAAGAATATTAATGATAAGTACAAATTTTGTTAACATCTCAAAAAAACTTTAAATTTTCAAAGTGCTCCATCAGGAATTAATAATAAGTCAGCCCTAGTAGATAATTTCTAATAATGAAGTAATCAAATATGAAAGAATCAGCAGTCGGGTTACCATCTACATAAATACGACATAAGGAAAATATTCAGGGCGTAAAGTTCTGATTTCTATTTGTATTTTTGCTTCATATCTTCGAAACGGCTGAACCAGCCCTAGCGAAAAACTAATCAGAATCAATGGGAATTGAACATACATACACACATACACATTTTGAGGTAAACCAAAATGTTCAGAATGCCTTTAAACGTGAAGATAAGAAAAAAATATCATTTTCGATTTATTTGCGATTAATATAACTTATCCTACGTAAAGTTAAAAATTATATCTGAATAATTTTTTAAAAAATGTTTAATTAAAAAAGTAAAATTTTGTCTATTAAAAAGGGCGCCTGAACGTAAAGGGCCTAGGGCGGCAGAGAGCTTAATCCGCCACTGTTGACCGTTTTAATATATCTTCGAAAATAGTAATTATACATGTATTACTATAAGACTTGTATTTGCAAACTTGAAAAAACAAATAACATTTTTTTAATATACATAGGAATTATTTTATTAAAAGTAAATTATTCAAAAAATATATTTTTAATGAGCAAAATTATAATTTTATACATGTTCTTAAACTTTACTAAATAACTCAAACTAAATTTATTCATTTATTATTGTTTATCAAAACTAAAAACGCCTTGATTCGCCATATAATGAAAAAAATCAAAGTTTTCAAAAATATACAAAGCTTTATACTTCAAATATGAATTTTAAATTTACAATTCAGAGTCAAAATGTATATTATTCAAATGCATTATTCTAATCGTAAGAAATATATCCTCAGATGGATTCATTCAATCACCTCTCGCTAATGTAAACTTTCTCAAGTGCTTCGAGCGATAAGATCGTCACTGTATATCTCATGAACGATAAAATGTATAGTGATTATGATTATCCATTTGAAAATGTATAAAAAATTTGTTGTAAATCATTGATTAATTTTTATTGATTACTGATTTTTTCCCTCGAGTATATAATTCTGGTATGGGAAGTTCCAGTAATTTGCCTCAAGGCACCAAATTTATTGTGTTTTTTATGTTTCAGGCGAATATCTTCAGGTGCCAGTTCGACTCTGGTCTTCGTGTATCTGACCTACGCGGTGCTTCCAGTTCGCCTTAGGGAAGCCGTACTGGCCGGCATTCTGCTTTCGGGGGCCCATCTTTGGGCGGCCGTTGCCACAGGCCGAGGCAGCCAGGACGACGCATATTCTACATGGATACAGGTCAGAGAAAAAAAAAATTGTTAAAAATAATAAACCACTAAATCATATACTTATTCTGGGATAACGTAGATACATTATACTAACAATCTTCCGGAGGGGGGGGAGGTAATGAATTTTGAGAAAAAACGACTTGACAATTAAAATTATTATGATAAGTCATTTTGAATCGTTTGTGGCAAATATTGGAAAAAAGTACGTTTATAAATGTGTGTAGATTTTTTACCTTTAAGGGGCACAACTAGTGTAAAATTTTCAAAAAATCGAATTTTTAATTTTTCCATATTTTGATCGGTTATACCTTTAAAAATAACATACCAAAATTTTAAATCGATATCTTGAATAGTTTTTGAGTTACAGCCATTTAAAGAGTATATATATGGTATATAGTATAACGATCATTTTATCTTCAAACGCGCTTTTCTCGAAACAGCATTTTCCGAATTTGCTGCAGCGATTATTCAAAAACAAATGATCCGATCACTATCAATTTTTTTTTACATGTTCTATATATAGTTCTCCGTAGAATAAACTATCGATTTTTTGATCGGATCAAAAATCAAATTTTGGTAGTCCAAAAACGACCAAAATTTTGGGTAAAATACGACTTTTTTTTAATAACGCCGTCATTTTGTCAATTTTTAATTTTTTTCTTTATCGTAGTTCATCTTACAGACAATATTATCTATTTTAACGAGAATCTTTTTTTTAAATTTCATCCACATAGAAGGCCGGAATCACTGCAGCAATAAAGGACCTTTTTTATGTCGCGCCGTTGGAGATCGACGATAACTTAAAAAATATTTAATTTTTTTCTTCAAAAATTTTACTATGTGTTCTGAAAACATGTATAAATATATTCCTAAAATTTTGAAATGATTGATAAAGTATTTTTTTTAATATAAATTCCCAAAAATCACCTTTTGTTAGACGGTTACACTAGTTGTGCCCCTTAACACGGTTTAGATTAGGGAATGCAATACCGGTAAACCGCCCGATTTTTCGGGGGTATTTTTACCGGTATTTATTCCAAAAATACCGGTATTTTCGGTATTTTTACATAAGCGCTATTTGATACATAATACCCTACAGTTTAAATTTCTCGGAACAAATTTATCTTTAAATTCCATAAACGCATAAACAGCTATATCTTCAAGTGATTCTATAAGATAAACAGATGTCAAATATTATCTCAACTCGTCATTAATCTGAATATTTATTGCTTTCCAAAGGGCTTCATATCGTGTTACAATAAATAGAATTGGACTGATAGATAATGATGTTTTTTTTCATCTATTGTAAAAATGTAACGGTTTTTTAAGTGATATTTGCGCCAAAATATTTTATATCATACAGATTACTCTTGCGTAATCTTTATTTTTTCTAACTTTATACATAATAATTATGATAATTACTAAATATTTTTGCTTCTTATTACAATTATAAAAAAGTTTTCGAAAACGTTTCGAAGTTTGAAAATACTATAGAAGCATCACATTGTTTTAAATAACAGTACTCATCAATTATAGTAACTTATTATTTATCTCGATAAAGAATCCGATCTTAAATTAGTGTAGAAATTTTTTTTTTTAAATATTAGAGATTGTGCTAATTTAACACATCGGATACAGACAATACAGTTTATTATAATAATGTAATATGATCTTTTATGAGTTTTTAGTCTTACTCATAAGTTTGTTTTTGATGAAAAGTACTCAATATACTCGATAGTGATAATGAATTAATTAAATTGCCTATACTTTTGTTAAATTATTATTTAAAAAATAAACTTATTGTTTTATTTTATTGTTTAGTTGAATATAGTTGTAGTTGTATATACATTTTTTTATATTTGTACTAGTCACTTTCAATTTTGTTTACGTTTGTTTAAGATAATAAAAATACCGATAATTTATCGGTATTCCGGTTTTAAAATGAAAAATTACCGAAATACCGGTATTGAAATTTTCCATCTGTATTGCATTCCTTAGTTTGGATTATAAATTAATAATTCATGTACATATTCTGGGATAGCATTGCTATGTTATCCAGTTTATGCGAAGAGTCTCAGATGTTGAAGACTTGGTGTTTATATTGCATCTTCTGTTTTGATAAATCTTTCTACAAATTCTATTGATTTTAGCAATACACCAAACAAAAATTCTAAAGCTACCTACCTATCAGTATCAGTGCAGATATTTTCAACCAGCCTTATCTAAAATGAAATATTTCTGTTACCATTTCTTAAAAATACATCAATTTAATATTCAACTTAAGGTTAAACAAACCCTTCCAGTTGTAATAACATAGATTTCTCTTCGACCATGAATGCGTTTGTTTTGCTGCCGAATATTCGAATATTCATCCAAAAACCTTGATCGTGAGTGGCGCCCGCGAATTCGAGGCGCCAGTCAGTCTGTCTGGCAACATTTTCCTAAAAGATGATAAAAGAATAGAACTTACATATATATATATATATATATATATATATATATATATGTCTATGTCTATGTATCTATCTTCTGCTCCTGGGTCAATACCAAATATTCGTTCGCGGGACAAACAGAACCTTGAACTTTTATATCAATTGCTGCAATAAATTTCGACAGCAATATAATGCAGTGACCTTCGCTCTTTTTTTTGGTACATCGATTCTTCTAGAAGTAATCGGTATTATATTGCTGAACATATAAGTTAAATAGAGTGAGTTAAATTTTTATCTACGTACGAAATTGATTCATAGAACAATATAAATTTTACTAGGCGAATTGCAATCTTCCTCAAAGCACGATTTGAGGTCTGGGGTAACTTACTTTTATTATGATTTCATTTGTTTAAGATTAAGTGAAATTTGATCATCATTAAGTATTGAAGTTTAATGTAATATTTGTTTTCAAGGGGCTAATTGAAGTTATTTGTATCTGAAATGTTTATTTGTTCCAGAATTTTTGATAAGTCACTCTGAATAGTTTGTTGCTAAATTTGCAAAAAAAGGGGCTAATTGAAGTTATTTGTATCTGAAATGTTTATTTGTTCCAGAATTTTTGATAAGTCACTCTGAATAGTTTGTTGCTAAATTTGCAAAAAAAGTTCGTGTACAAGAGTGTGTATATTTTTTACCTTTCGCTGATTTTCCAATAAACGACTGATTTCAGAAATCTAAATGTAATTTGATCATTCTCGATTAGATTTTGTTTATTAAAAACCCAATGATATAAGTTATGACTCATTCTCATTAGTTTTTGTAATTTTTTTTTAAAGATACATTTATTACTTGGCGATAGAATTCGAAGTATAAATACGAAAATTACACAAATTTAATTTAATATTTGGTTTAATTGGATGCGTTTTTAGGACATATAATTATGTGTTTGTGCACTATAATTTATATAATTACAAATGTTATAAATGTGTTTAGGAGATAATAAAATAATAATAAGGTATAGTAAAAGAAGATAGTAAAATAATAATAAGTTTAGGAGATATCAATTGAATTTTTTTTTTTTAAATAGTCGAAAATTATCTCAGAAGCTAAATCTCACTTCTTGTTGATTAAATCGATTATTTTCCTGCAGGCAAAATGCCACTTACACCTAATAGAAATTCCCAAATTTTGATAATGTCTATACATAGAAGTCGTAAAAAAGGTGTGTGTGTCTCCTTTCTTGTATAGCAAAGGTAATGCATTTATACGCTTACCAGACTAGGTCTTTTGTCTGGGCATGTTGGACACAATAAATAATACCAACTAAAATCTGCGATTATCTCCTGCTTTTTGTTTCCAATACAACCCCACTATTAGGCATTTTTATATGGGGGGAAGTTTTAGAATTTCAGAATACCCAATCTTGTTTAAACTTTGGTGCTAATTTGGTGCTAATTTTTTTTTAACTTTCCGTAGAGTAAGTAATAGTAATGGGCGAAAACAGAAAATGAAAATTTTTGCATATCTTCACGTTTCAGTGGTTTCTGAACATGAATGTTTGTGTATGTTTATACGGATACAATTTTTTCTCTATGTTTTTGGTGGGCAAAACATCGGTGGATCAACCGATTTGAATGATTCAAGAAAGTCGAAACGATTGTTTTCGGGAAGAGAATTTTTTTGTTTACTTTTTTAAGTGATCAAAAAAAAATGTAACCTAATTTTATTCTTAGAATATTTTATTACGGTACTGTAACTTCCAGCAAATTGCCTTAAGGTACTATATTTGTCTAAAGATTGCAAGTCTATGTGTATGTGTGGGTATGCATGTGTATGTATTTATTATATGTATTAGTAGTAAATTTCTCTACCGTGTCATTAGGTGTTGTAAATTCAAAACATATCGATCACAAATCATAGCAAAAGCCGGCAATTGAGGTTCTCCGGTTATATGAAGCGATTCAATATGGAGTAAAATCACGATACAGAAGTTACACGATATATACATATTTCGGTTGGGGTCAAATAGTTGGAGGGTTGGTAGGACAATGACAATCTCAAATTTAGTTTCAAGTGAAATTAGTCATCACTATCAAAAACTAGTGGTGTATGCTATCGTCCCTTAAGACGAATTGCTAGAAGATTTAAATTTTTAAAATTTCTGAAAAAAGAAAAAAAAAGAGATTTTTGGGAATTTTGAAATTTTTGAGAAAATTTAACTTATTTGAAAAACTTGAATTTTTCTTTATATTTTGGTTTTTTATATTTCTTTTCAAAGTAATCGTTCTGCGTGGTTGTTTTTGGTAGTAAGCACCGCATTGCAGTCTAACAGATAAACATTGGTAAGGAACTCATAGAAATGCAGATAAAATTCATTCTTAGTATTAAAATCTCTAAAACGGTCCAATTTGACTTTGAGAAATTACATTGTGGAAACCAAACCAATTTTAGTAAAACAAATAACATATATCAAACAAACAACTATCTGAATATGTTCAGTAAAACTCACAGCTAATTCATCATTGTAGAAATTTGTTTGTTACTGTTTTTTTAAAAATTTGTCACCTGGTCCTTTTTACCCAGGGGCAAACAGGTCCAAATATCTTAATTTTAATTTTAAATGGATTTCACTAAATAAGAGCTACATTATTCAACTAATGCAAAACGTGAATTATATGGATACATTTTTTGAGGCGTTTGATTTTTTTTAACATTTTTGATAATCCTGCAATTTTTAAAAATTATATTTTTTTTAACAATTTTGAATTTTTTTCGAGGTGATCCAGTTTCATAGTTGTTACATATGAGGAATATGCAAAAACTTAAATTTAACTAAAAAACTGATTTCTAATTGAGTGTAGTCCACACCTAGCATTTTCTTTTAATTTTTTAATATAAAATATAATTTTATATGAAATATAATTTTTAATGAAGTATATTTTCACATATGAATAAATTGTTGAATTCACATGAATGGTTGAAATCATGAATGAATTGTTATTACATTTACTTGCATTCTAATTTTTACGTTAAAAACTCCATAAACCTAACAGTCAAAAATGTTGTATAATACTTCTAATTTTTTTTGTTGACTTATGAATTTGTGCAAACATTGAACTGTAGCACTGTAATTGTATCACTTTCAATAGTATAAAAATCGAGTCAATAAAAAATTAAAAACATTAAAACATAATGATGTGTTATTCAATTCAAAAAGCCCTCAATTTTTATTCTTCTATTCATACATTCATTCTAGTATTCGAGTGATTTTTATTTGGCTTTCAGTGATTTTATCGCTAAGTTATACCTAAAAACATTTTTAAAATTTTCGAAATTTTTTCCATGTTATTTCCATACAAAACTTTGATTGAATTGCGCTCTATCTAAAAGTTAATATTAAGAGCTAAAACTTTCAGAGAATTATGTTTTATCGATTTGGAACCATTTGAGCCCTTGGGAGCAAGGAAATTTGAAAATGTCCATATTAAGGACCACCCTAATATATATATATATATATATATATATATATATATATATATATAGTACATCTATACAATGATTAAGAACGACTTGAAACTTTGAAAAAACATAAAATAATCAAATAATATCTTCTGCCTAAAACAACTTCAACTTCCCTCTCGCCAATTTTTTTCTAAACTTTCCCAATCATTCATTTATACATTGAATTAAATCCAAAATATCCTTCAGCCCTCACTCCAAAATATAATTCATCAGAGATAAAATCTCACACGAGGAAAGAGAGAGATTTTCGTGGGAGATTCTGAGATTCAGGGTTGCGTGTACTTTGGCATATAGCCAAAAATTCGATGACCATGACCTCGGTGACCATAAATGGACATGGTATAATATAATACACGTGGAACTAAATCTTATAAAGGGTCTATTGTTGGAGGAAAATACTGAGTTGCGATTTGTGTATGATTTAAGGTACTCTGGGCGATAAGGGAATGTATTAACTTTACCTGACAAATGAAGCCGGGGGTGTCACTTACATAATAATTTGATAGTAAAAATAACGAAAAATAATTTTAACGTTACTCAATTAATCTTGTTGATCTAATCTTATATATAAAAATGGAGCTCTTGATTAAATGATTCAGTAAAACTCGAAAACGGCTAAACCGATTTGGCCAGTCTTGAAAAATTCGTGCTAAGCAGCAGGTTGTAGGAAAGGTGATATATTATTTTAAAATCGCGTAGAAACTCTACATTTTTAATTTGAAATTTAAGAAGCGTAATTTGGATAAAACAATGGACAGTGGCTAATACGTCAAATGTCAAACGTTTTTGACAGATGATGTTCAATTACGTTTAAGTAGGATGTTTTACGTGAATATGATTTAATTATGATTAAATTGTAGTAAGTTTTCTTCGTAGCTATATTTATATATAAAAACGTTATTAAACTGGCCGCAAGTGTTACTAGAACCTCAAAATATCACTTTTTTGAAATGTTAATTTGAAAATACACTTTTTGGCGTCGTAGCACTCTTTTTTGCAAATCATATTTTTTTCAAACACGGTACTCTGAAAGATCTCATTTGTATAATTATATACTAATTGGTATTTATAAAACATTTTCTAGGTTATATTATTTTTTATTTATGTTATTTAAATTCAGAACCTAAATTTGGTGTCGATGAAATGGACATTTTGTCGAATAACATTTTCCAAGTTATAATTTCCCAAAATTTTTCGAAGAATAGATAGTAATATATAAAAGGTATTTAAGGTTTAAAACAGTAAAGTTAAGCATTGTTTAACAACAATATTTGAAAGTAGAGGGAAAAAGATGTATAACCAGCTATACTCCTTGATTCTCATGACTTTGCTATCGGGAAAAAGACGATAATCTTTGGAAATCTATAATAAGAGTATTTTCTTCTGAGGGCAGTTTTTTAGCATTAGTTGAAATGTTATAATTATTTTGTAAAATACCTTTAAAATTAAAATAAGACATTAAACCTGTTTGCCACCTGGCCGTTCCAAGTTACCCCGTCTATGGGGTAAAAAGGTCTAGATAACAAATTTTTGAAAGACATCAAAAAAGCACATTTCTACAAAGATGAAGTAGAAGGCAGTTTACTGAACGTAGTCAGATAATTGTTTGGTTGAAATGTATTACTTGTTGTGATATAGTTGGTTTGATTTTTATAATATAATTAATATTTCCTCAAAGTCAAACTGTTCTACATATATACTTCTTATTAAATTTACTTTAATTCATCGAATGTGACTTGAAACTTTTCAAAAAGCATATCCAAGAAGAAATACTTAATTCATTTTCTATCCCTTCTCGCAGAAATTTGAAAATTTTGTATAAGTTCAGTAGTTTATTTACAATTATACAAAAAATCCAGAATCCAAAAAGAATCTGAAAAACTTGAAACGTAATCAATAAGTCGAAAAACCAAAAAAGAGTTGGATTGAATGAATTAAACCATGTGTTCTATAGAAAGTGTATAAATCTTCCAGCTTGATTGTATTGACAAAATATAGGCAAACTAATGGGGTTTGTTGTTTTTATAATCATTGCTCATTGTATATAGCATTCAAACAACTCTTCCTTATACACTTTAAGTATTAATTGTTTTTGATTCTCTAGAAATTGTTTAGAATATACCATACTTAGCAAAACAACGTTTGCCGGATCAGCTAGTTTAATATAAAATTATCAAATAATTTTCCGGGTGTCTCACGGCTTTGTTGCTTTTTCCTCTTACCGGCCTTCGATTTTAAAGCGATTTTGGAGTATTTTTCCCCATAATCTCATTACCGATTCAAAAATAATTTATTCCCGATTCGTTTCTGCCCTAATCCATTTTATTCGGCAGTAATCTCATCAAAGGGAATGACTATCGTATAGTTTTATGCTGTCATGAACCGGAATTAGCATGTGCTCGATATATTGTATGGAAAAGCGTTCGATACCGGCGAAATTTTATGTGATGGAAACAGGAATTGGACTAAATGGATTAATATTACTAAAAATAGGTATATATATATATATATATATATATATATATATATATATACTACCTGACCCGGCAAACGTCCTTTTGCCATAAAAAATATTTCTAGTATAAAATGTTTAGTACGAAAATAACTAACTGATTGCAAATGTGGTGCATCAGTGAAAGGAGCGGGTAACAAAAAATATATGAATAGTTTATCCACTGCAAAGAAATCTACATATAAATGTTCCTTAATACTCTCTACAAGTGCCAACCTAATCTGAAACTGATTCTATTTAAATTGAATTGTCACATTTAATGTTTCAAGATTTTGATTTATTATTGCCACGCTTTTTGTTAACTCACAAATTTTTAAATTACGAAGTAAAATCCGATAATTCATTTTTAAATTATATTTTTATGTGAAATGCCCTGCGAATTGGAATGAGATTGAAAAAAATTGAGAGAGTGGAAAATTTTACAGCTTTACCATAGATTTGTATGGTACCTAAAGTTTCCTATCAAAAACTGTTGTATCTTCAGATTTTTATATTCAATCTCTCTATTTTTTTCAAAAATTGGTTTTTATGCAAACCATTTATAAACTATGTACTGTTTGTGCGCATCGGGAAATATTTGTACAATGAGAAAATTGGAGGAGTGAACAACCCTTTATGAAATAAATTGTTTTTTTAAGTAAAATTAATGTTTCATTATAAGGTCAGGAAAATATGAATTAAAAGTTAGTAAATAAAACACTCACTGACTAAAAGCGTGGTGAAAAATTATTTGTTTGCTAAAATGACTATTATGAAATATAGATTTGCGAAAGGAGGGTGAAAATTCAGAGTTGTATGAATTGAGTTGCATTTTTGAATTCCGCATGATGAAAATTGAAATTTAAAATGAATTGAAGCTAAAATTTAAGATAGAAGTTAGGGGTGATCAATCTTTGATGAAAATATATAGTATTTTGAAGTGAAAAAATTTGTATGTAATTTTCACTTACACATTCATAATATTAAATAAAGATAAATGAAAACCTTTATAAAAATTATTTTCTAAAATAAGATTTAAGATTTTTCTTTAAGCTCAAAATTTGGAACTAATATTGAAAATAAATGTCAAAAGTGTTCGATAAGGAAACGAAGAATAAAAATTAGTACGTTACTAAAATAGCTATTACAAAATAGGGGTTGGTATGATAAAAATGAAAATTTAGGGTTGTATGTATTTCTTAATGCCACATTATAAAAAAATAAAAACAAAAACATCCCTCCAAAAACACAAAAAAAATTAAGGGTGAACTATCATTTAGAGGTATGAAAAATAGATAGTAGCCTATTCTCAGACCTACTTAATAAGCATTAAAATTTGGTAAAAATCGAAATATATATATATATATATATATATATATGTATATATATATATATATATATATATATATATATATATATATGATAATTTGGAAATATGAACAAATAACACTCATTTTGCACTAATTTATTAAATAAATTTACTTAATAAATTAGTGCAAAAAAGAGTGTTGTTTGTTCATATTTTCAAATTAATATCTATTTATTCACTCAGAGTACATTGGTTATATATATATATATATATATATATATATATATATATATGTGTGTGTGTGTGTGTTAATTCTGTTTTTAACAAATATAAATAATAAATTAATTTCTTTATTGAACTAGTTTCGACACCATGTTTGTGTCATCTTCATATTTATTCATTAATTTTTCTAAATTCCTCCTTCGTGAATAAACAAATTTCTTCAGCATATATTCGATAGCTATCAAAATTTAATTTGTAAATCTGAAATAATACTCAATTCTTAGCTCATTTTTCAATTTAAAATTTGAAAATTTGGCAATTTGAGAATTTTAATTTTTATTTTTATTTTACTTTTATTTTAATTTGTTACTACTAGATTTAAAAAATATTTTCTAAAGAAACAAAAAAATGCTCAAATTCATTTAATTAAAATCTAATATAAAATTTAATTATTTTTATAATCGAAAATAGAATTTGGAACAAGTATTTATTTATTTATATATATTTATATATATTCTAAAAAAAATTATATAAATATTCACAGATTTGCTGAAGATAACACAAGTATAGTGCCGAAACTAGTTCAATAAAAAAAATTATTTTATTATTTTTATTTTTTATTCGACGTATTGGCCAAAAAATTATATATATATATATATATATATATATATATATATATATATAATTGATATTTTCCAGAAGGTTTTATCGAAGGCATGTGTTTTTGATATGGGTCGCCGATCTATTTATTAGAACGAAATATGATGCTCTCTTACTTTCGTATCGGAAAATGATCGAATGTATCATTATTGATATGAAGAAAACGAGGGAAATCTATCTTTTTATTTATAAACATACATTGTAATACGATATATTCATAAAATATTGTTTACCGGTAATAGAATATGTTGTGTTTCTGTAAGACTCATTATTATTCTTAGTTATACGACGTAACAGAATATATGGAGATTTCGTCATTATAGAACAAACCTTAAAAAAAATGCTAAACAGTTTTTTTAGAAGAATGAAATGCAGTAAACTAAATTGCATTATTATATACAGTTTTTTATAGTATATCAAAATAATTTTATTCTCTCCGTCGGTCTAATTTCAGATTCGATTTAATTTTCATTGAAAACTTTTATCTGCATTGTTGAATAGTTTTTGTATATTTTTCGCATAAAATTATTAAACTGCTATAAAATTCGAGAGTTATGGAAATAATAATGAAGCCAATTATGAGAGTTATTTTGCTTGTAATGGATCTGAGGAGAGTTTTTGAAACTGTTGTTTCAATTATGCTTGTTAGTTGAAACTTTATAGAGGATAGAAATTTAATTCGACTGCACTACAATATATAGGAAAAGTATCAGGTAATAATAAAATTATAAAAAATATGTGCACTTTGATCCTTATTTTATTCACGTCTACGAGATGAGAATATAACATTGAACAACATATTAAGAAATGTGCTGAATTTATTACTATCATTGTATGAAAAAGTATAAAAAATTAATGTAGTACTTTTTCTTACTGTGGGATTTACATAATTTTATGTTATGGCTTTAAATTTGATGTTCATTAAACATGTAAAAAATGAATTAATTCTTCTACGAAGTGTGATAAAAAAAACTAATGATGTTATGTAATTTCTTCGAGAATTTTCAGTATTCTATATTATAGATTAAAAGTAATAGTAGACACTTTATAATAATAAGAAGAAATTTATTATATATATATATATATATATATATATATATATATATATTTCGATTTAGTCAACGTCATTTCGAAGGTACCAGAATCATTTCATAGTGGCTTGTTCTCTAAAAATTCATTAATCGCAAAACTAATTGAAATTTCGAAAATTTTGATACTTCAAATACAAACTGAGATATTTGTGGTTGGATATAACTCAAGTTGAATATTAATGCACACATTGAGCCAATAAAAATTAAAATCGGTTCAGTAATTTAGGAACCCATTCTGGACAAACATCTTGACATAAGGCATATACATGTGTGTGTTTTAATGTATGTGTCTATATCCAAATATATTTTTTTGCACATTTGCGAATCCGTTCATCCAGTTTTCCTCATTAAATCCATTCCAGTAAGGGATTTTCAGAGGAAAGACTCCGGATCAAATCACTCCGAATTTTTGCAAGATCATCTGTCGCGTCGGGTTACTATTTCTCTCCGGACATGTAATTAGTGAACAAAAAGAAAAAAATACACGAAACACGTTTATTCCACAGCCCCGAGCCATATTAAAGCAGTGGTGGTGAAGATAAATATTAACTAGGTGTAAGAGGCATTTTGCTTCAAGAGCGTATTCTACAGTAGAAATTCCAAAAAATCGTGTTTGTTTTTTTTTCATATTTTCAAAGCTTAACTATTCAAGAACATGTATGCGAAAGATTTTTCTAAAATTTCTATTATTTTCGGAGATATAGCTGTTTGAGCATGATAATTCTTTTTTGTTTCCTTCATTTTGTAAAACTTTAAATGCGTCTTACTAAGGTTTATATAAGGGTTTATACAAAAACCGACATTTCAGAAAACCGGTTTTCGAATTTTAATTTTACTAAAAAACCGATTTTCGAATTTTACGAAGAAAATCAATTTTTACTCGAATGTTCTGTAATTTATCCGCAAATTAGTGTTCAATTTTATAGATAGTAAACAAAATTATTTTAATTTTAATTAGTAGAACTAAAGAATAATCATTTGTCTTGACTAAATAATTTTGAAAATAATTATTCGTTATTCGTGCATCATTTTCACATATAAGAATGAAATTATTTTTATGATAGTGAAAGGAAAGTTTTCGAATAAATAAAAATAATACATTTTTAAATAAAAAAAATTCATTAAATAAAAAAATTATTAGATACATGTTGATACATACTTCTTAATATCAATTTTAGTTTTAAAAACATATAAGCTAAACTTTATTTCTGTTCCGAGCAATTTTAATTAATTTTAAACATTCTAATTGTTTTTTGTTTAATAAAATATGATTTAAAAAAATTGAGAACGTCTATCGAATTGCTACTTAAACGTGTCCTTTGTTTACTCACAAAATTTCCTGAAATAGAAAATACTCTCATACTAATTATGTTTAATTGATTTTAAAGCCTGATATGATAATTCTAAGTTTTTTGTTCTTTAATTTGTGGCTTCTAGGTTTCAAAACTCTTTTTTTTGTCGCGCCGTTGGAGATCGACTATAACTTAAAAAATATTTGATTTTTTTCTTCAAAAATTTTACTATGTATTTTTAAAACATGTGTAAATATATTCCTGAAATTTTGAAATGATTGATGAAGTAGTTTTTTTAATATAAATTCCCAAAAATCACTTTTTTTTAGGCGGTTACACTAGTTGTGCCCCTTAACATAAATCTTTTTTTTCGGTGATAAGTAAAAAAAGGCCAACTTATGCTAACCTTACCAAAACAAACGCATTAGTTTTCGAAATTAATCTAGAATAATTAAAAAGCAACATCGATTTTAAAATATTTAACTGCTAATTTTAAATATATAGAATTATTTAAAATTAAATTTTGCCTTGAATTAAATTGCATAAACTTCGGAAAATTTATGAGTGAATGATAATATAATAATCAGTAATTGAAATTTACCTGTTCACTTGGTCACTTGTCTACTTATATAAATCTATCTGTCAATATTCGATAATTTAGCGTTTCATCGTAATTGTTCTTACGAAAATTTTTCAATTGTTTGTCATTAATTAAATCAAAAATATTATGAACCTTCCAGTCTTTTTTCCTAAAGGCGCAATTTCATACACTTACTGCTAGTAACGTTTGTAAAAATAACTCTATCATAAAAATAGATTTTATGAAACAAACAAATTTTTCTAATAATAATTTCTTTATTCCTTCAAAACTATTTCTGTTTACATTTCATATTTCCACCCACTCACTTGTATATAATATTTGTACTATTCATTCGTCAGTTGCAGATGGAAAATATTATTACATGTAGGTATTATTTCCGTTCGCAATTTGTTATTATGGATATGTCAGCGTCAATATAATGACATCAGGGCAAAATTCTTGACAAAATCATTAAGAGAAAAAAGTTATTTTCGATGTTGTATTATCGAAAAAATAGTGTCCATAGACGACGGCGCGGCGAATGTAATTATTATTACTATTTACTAATGGGATCAGAAATTTTGTCAGAGAAGAAAATATTGAATATGTAGGAATATATATATATATATATATATATATACATAAATCTATGACTTTAATAATTTGCTTAATTTCAGTTTTATTTCCCTCATGTGCTAATTATACTCCGGACATAAATCGTAAACAACAAAATAGCATAATGATTACGATATTAATCGAAAGTGTATCGAATAAAATTTTATTATGATTACCGAATCACGAAGTATATTCATTTACTTTATGGCCTAGTCGTAAACTTGTAGAAATTAACAGAAGTAATAAAATGGGGCAGTAAATATGGATTTTGTATAATATTTATGAATCAGAAAATATAAAGTTGGAGTACATTTGTGAAATATGTAATTGAGAAAAATCTTATGCGTAATGTTAATAGAGAGTTATAACATTTTAATCAGAATGCATGTAGGAGACACAATATATGGTTATTTTGGACCCATGGGGAGCAGTTTGTTTCCTTACTTTATGAAAAATTGTAGATGTACAAATAAAGAACAATAAAACTTTATTCAAAATTAACTACATAATATCTTTATTTATAATATAATAGTATTTTGTTCATTTGCTTGAAGATAACCATAAAATATGTTTTTTTTCAATGTCTTGTTCTCATCGAATAAATTTACAATTTTAATTTCTCTTAATGTGATATTGTATTTGATTTTTCAACCTACAAAATCGACTGTTATTTACAAATATTTAAAATAAAATTCTGGATATATCTCACAACGATTTATTACTTTAATGATGATATTTTAATAAGAAGAGAAAAGTTCGAATGATTTTTGGTGTACCGCAAGGATCTCATTTAAGACCCATAGGGAGCAGTATGTTTTCTTTCTTTATGAAAAATTGTAGATGTAGAATTAAAAAATGACAAAAATATAACCAAAAATAACTACTAATTATTTGAGCATTAAAATTTGATAAAGATGATTTTCTGCATTAATAATAATATAGTAATTTTGTTTATCTGCTTAAAGAAAACCAGAAAATATGTTTTTTCAATGTTTTATTCTTATTAATTTCTCAATTTTCATTTTTATTATTAAAGTATTGTATTTGATTTTTAAGCCCGCAATATCGATTATTATTTACAAATATTTAAAAGAAAATTCTGGTTATATCTCACAACGATTTATTACTTTAATGGTGATATTTTAATGAGAAGGCAAAAGTACGAATAATTTTTGGTGTACCGCAAGGATCTCATTTAGGACCCATATGGAGCAGTTTTTCTTTCTTTGTTTATAAAAAATTATAGATGCAGAATTAAAAAATGACAAAAATATAAACAAAACTAACTACTAATTCATTGAGCATTTAAAATAAATCAAGATCAGTTACCACATTGATAATAATATAGTATTTTGTTCATTTGCTTGAAAATAACCATAAATTTTTTTTTTTAATGTCTTGTTTTCATTGAATAAATTTACAATTTTGATTTCTTTGACTGTGATATTGTATTTGATCTTTTAACCTACAAAATCGATTGTTATTTACAAATATTTAAAATAAAATTCTGGTTATATCTCACAACGATTTATTACTTTAATGGTGATATTTTAATGAGAAGGCAAAAGTACGAATAATTTTTGGTGTACCGCAAGGATCTCATTTAGGACCCATATGGAGCAGTATTTCTTTCTTTGTTTATAAAAAATTATAGATGCAGAATTAAAAAATGACAAAAATATAAACAAAACTAACTACTAATTCATTGAGCATTTAAAATAAATCAAGATCAGTTACCACATTGATAATAATATAGTATTTTGTTCATTTGCTTGAAAATAACCATAAATTTTTTTTTTAATGTCTTGTTTTCATTGAATAAATTTACAATTTTGATTTCTTTGACTGTGATATTGTATTTGATTTTTTAACCTACAAAATCGATTGTTATTTACAAATATTTAAAATAAAATTTTGGATATATCTCACAACGATTTATTACTTTAATGATGATATTTTAATAAGAAGGCAAAAGTACGAATAATTTTTGGTGTACCGCAAGGATCTCATTTAGGACTCATATGCAGAAGTTTTTCTTTCTTTGTTTATAAAAAATTATAGATATGGAATTAAAATATGACAAAAATATAACGAAAACTGACTACTAATTTATAGAGCATTTAAAATAAATAAAGATCAGTTACTACATTGATAATAATATAGTATTTTGTTCATTTGTTTGAAGATAACCAGAAAATATTTTTTTATCAATGTTTTATTTTTATTAATTTTACAATGTTGATTATTATTAATGTTGTATTTAATTTTTCAACACACAAAATCGATTGCCATTTACAAATATTTAAAATAAAATCTTGGATATATCTCACAACGATTTATTACTTTTATGATGATATTTTAATAAGAAGGCAAAAGTTCAAATAAGTTTTGGTGTACCGCAAGGATCACATTTGGGACCCCATGGAGATGTTTGTTTTTTTTTTCTTTCTATAACCAAAAATAACCACTAGTTTTTGAGCATTAAAAATTAATGAAGATGAGTATCTTTATTGGTAATAATATTACTATATTTTGTTTATAAATAATGTCTCTTTGAAGATAACCATTAAATAATATCACGAACACATGTGAAAATAAATGTATGTGGTTATTTATTTGAATAATTTATTATTTGATTTCCAATATTATATTTGATTTTTCGACCCACAAAATCAATTGTCATTTATATCTGGATATATCTTACAACGATTTATTTCTTATTACTTTAATGATGTAACGCAATTCATATAAATATATATATCATTATAAAATTATATAATATATGTCCTATTACATAACGAAATGCTATTCAATACGATTTGGAATATAAATCCTGAATTTCAGGATTTTCTCATCTCTTATGTAACGTGCATAAATTACGTAACAAAAATTAACGTATGAAAAAGTATACTGATCGTATATTATGACGAAGGACAGGTTGTTGAGAAATATTTTTATATAAGGACTTATAGTAATTGACAACGTAATAATTTATATATTATATATCTGATTTAAAAATTTTTTTTCCGTATGGTTAAAGGTATTATTACTACAACATTCGCATTGGATTATTGACATAGACTGCAACAACCTTTAAATTTAAAAGTCGTACGAAAAATCTTTAGACATTTCTTTAGTTAGTTTAATCTAGAATATTCTTTAGCTTCTAATGTTATCTTCAAATAGAATATATATTTAACATTTGTTTTATTAACTACTGTCCTTCCATTACACTAACTAATTTTTTATCTGAGTTGGTTAATTTTCTCCGAGCGTTCTTTGAAAAAACAGGAATATGAAACTGTTAGGCCCTAAGGCCGAATTCATTTCGCAAAAGAAACAGTGCCAAATTAGACGAGAGCAAAGTTAATGAAACGATAACAGTAGTCGAAATATATATGTATTTTAGTATTTTCGTTTTACTTTCTGTGAAATGAATCGTCTTTTAGTGTAATGGAATGTGATGTCTGCATCATACGCCTACAAGGTGGGCAATGTTCATACATGCATAGACATAATTATACAATTTGTCTGAGAGCCCCTGGATACGAAGATTGTACATTATATATATATATATATATATATATATATATATGTGTGTGTGTGTGTGTATATATGTGTATCTTATATATATAAATCGAGCTCTCTTTCAAATGTCTCAGTAGAACTCGAAAACGGCTAAACCGATTTGGCCAGTCTTAGTCTTAAAAAAATTCGTGCCAATCCAGAGAAGGTTGGAAAATGTAAATGTTGGAAAATGTTGTAAATTATATATATATATATATATATATATATATATGTGTGTATATATATGTGTATCTTATATATATAAATGGAGCTCTCTTTCAAATGTCTCAGTAAAACTCGAAAACGGCTAAACCGATTTGGCCAGTCTTAGTCTTAAAAAATTCGTGCCAATCCAGAGAAGGTTGGAAAAATGAGATAATATTTCAAAATCGCGTAGTAACTTTACATATTTAATTTGAAATTTTATGTAGAAGCGTAATTTAAATAAAACAATGGACGGTGGCCAATACGTCAAATGGCAAACGTTTTTGACAGATGATGTTCAATTACGTTTAATAGCATGTTTTACGTGAATATTATTTAATTATGATTAAATTGTCGTAAGTAGTTTTGTTTGTAGTTTAATTTATACACAAATACGTTATTAAATGGGCAGCAAGTGTTACTAGAAACTCAAAATATCAACTTTTTTGAAATGGTAATATGAAAATGCAATTTTTGGCGTAGCACTCTTTTTTTGCAAATCAAATTTTTCTCAAACACGGTACTCTGAAAGATCTAATTTGTATTATTATATACTTATTGGTATTTATAAAACTTTTTCTAGGTTATAATATTTTTTAGTTGCGTTATTTAAATTCAGAACCTAAATGATCAAAGGGACATTTTGTCGAATAACATTTTTTCAGTTATAATTTCCCAGAATTTATCGAAGAATATATAGTAATATATGAAGGTCCGGTGTTAAAAAGGTCCACCACTGATGTGTCAAAAACCAGTAAAGTTAAGCATTGTTTTACAACAATATTTGAAAGTAGAGGGAAGAAGATGTATAACTAGCTATAACCTTGATTTGAAGACTTTGCTATCGGGAGATAAACGGTAATCTTTGAAAATCTATAATAAAAGTATTTTCTTCCAATGGTAGATTTTCAGCATTAGTTAAAAATGTAATCATTTTGTAAAATCCTTTAAAAAGGTCTAGATAACAAATTTTTGAAAGACGGCAAAAAAGCACATTTCTACAATGATAAAGTAGCTGTTAGTTTTACTGAACGTAGTCAGATAATTGTTCGTTTGATATGTGTTGTTTGTTGTGATATAATTGTTATGGTTTTCACAATATAGTTTATATTTGCTCAAAGTCAAATTGGACCTTTGTGCCTTGCCCTTTCTACATATATACTTTTTATTAAATTTACTTTAATTCAAGGTATGTTACTTGAAACTTTTCAAAAAGCAGGTCAAAGAAGAAATACATAATTCATTTTTTATCTCTCCTCGCAGAAATTTGAAATTTTTTTATAAGCTCAGTAGTATTATTTACAATTATAACACAAAATCAAGAATCCAAAAAGAATGAGAAAAACTTGAAACGTTATCAATAAGTCGAAAGACCAAAAAAGACTTGGATTGGATTATACCATGTTTTCTATAGAAAGTGTATAAAACTTTCAGTTTGATTGTAGGTATCTGATTGTATTGCCAAAATATAGACAGACTAATGGTGTTTATTGTTTTTATAATACTTCATTGTATATAGCATTCAAATAACACATCCTTATACACTTAAAGTATTAATATTTTGATTCTCTAGAAAATGTTTAGAATAAACCTTACTTAGCAAAACAACATTTGCCGGGTCAGCTAGTGTATGATATATATATATATATATATATATAAAGAATGATAGGGAATGGCGTTTCTTCGTAATTGATCCTTAAAGAAAAATGTTTGCACACACACACATTCATTTTTCTAAGGCATGCCAACTTGTTCAGAAACCTCTGAAACGTAAACTTTCATTTTAGATTTTTTTGCGATTACTACAACTTACCCTACGAAAAGTTAATTATTAGTGAAAGTAAAATTTTTATTTTTGGAATAAATAGTTGAACATTTTTATTCCGGTTAAATTTTTAATTTCTACTTTGATTTGGTGAATATTTTTGTATATCATTGATATCAAAATATAAATCTGAATCCGAGGAAAATCTTAGCAAGTCCTTCTACAGGTGCGGTCAAAGCCATGACGAAGTCATGAATACTATAATGTCCCTCGGGATCACATTTTGATTAACCGTGTCTATAGTGGAGAAGATTGGATGCTTGGATGGATTTGATACGTGATTATTGTTAAAATCTATTCTGACTAAAACTAGATTTGGAATCAGAATATGTATATCTATAATATTAACAAAGTTTGAAAATCAAATATTTCACTACGGTAAATTTTAATGCTATTGAAACGCAGAAAAATCATAAGCACCTATTGAAATTTCATATTTTTATTATTGTTATTTAATTAACTCTGTATATATATACATTTCTAATTTGCTTTATAATTTATACAGAAATGCTTTTCCAGCTTTGCTTCAATAGTTAGTTACCATTATAAATTCATACAATGCACCTGCACTGCACCAGTTTGATATGAAATATGGGAAATAATTAATTTCAAGTAAATTAATATTATTTATCAATGACGAAAATTATTATAATAATTCAATTTAATCGCGTGTACGTTTGCACTAATTCACCTTGTCATGTATTATAAACTTTTGGACCAATGAACCGAGGTAATAGATTTTGTGAATAATTGGAACCAAAATTTTTAATGCCTGTATAACATGAATTATATATATATATATATATATATATATATATGTATATATATAAATATGTATATATATATAAATATATAAACTAGCTGACCCGTCAGACGTTCTCCTGTATCCATGTCTACAATTCAAAAGTTTCAATTTATTCTGTATTCTATACCAAGATTTATCATTTAGTTAAAAATATTCATTTTTTCACACTATAGTCTATACCCAAATGTGTGTACAATAATGTGAGTGATTAAATAAAATGATAAGTCTCAATTTCTACACCTAAATTTCAATTATACAGTAAAATTCAAATCAGCCACATCACAACATATAAAATATTAAACAGATAAATAACTAAAAATGTTCATTAAAATTGTATAGATATAAAAAAAATACACTATAATGTTTTAGAACAAATTAATTCTCAATATATCAATTTATTTCGATGCCAAGTGATATACAATATTTTTTGTCAGATTTGTAAATGTATAAATAAATGAATTGTTTGGATTTCTAACTCTCGAATAAGCCTCACATAGTTCATGACTAAAACTATATGAGGCTAAAATTTCAGGCCATGACTAAAACTTGTTTTTTTTTTAAGTTAGTTCCACAAAAGTTCCCATATGTCAAAATATTTTAACTGTTAAACTGTTTTAACTGTTAATGTTGTTTTTTGCATTTTTTTATTTTTTGTTACATCATTACTATAATTTCATAAGTCATCAGATCTTAAAAATTTTCCTTAACAAACTCCGAAAAGATTTATCAAAATTCGAATACTCGTGTAGGAGGAGTATCAATTCATACATATTTACAAAAGATGAAGAGAATTTCGTACAAAATTCTGAATATCTGAAAATAATTTGGAATTTGTTAATAATTTAATTTTGCAAATATAATACTTTATATTTTTATATCTAACTTCATCACAACGTTATTAGTTACATTCGAATATATTTGTTTCGTTTTGATTTTTTGAACTGTCGTTATTTTTATTTATGACTAAATGTAATTTTTAGACTACATAGTGTGATTTATAATAGTTTTGGTATCTTAATGAACATTTTAAATGAATGAAGTTATTTCAAAGTTTCCAGAACAATTCACAGCTGTCAAAATTATTTGAAATTTCTGAAATTTTTATAAATCCAGTATGAAGTCAGATTTTTAATATTGCCTAAAACCTAAGTTGGATATATGATCATACAGTGAGCCAAAAAAAATTAAAATCGATTCAGTAATTTAGGAGTACATTCGGTACAAACATCGTAAATCGAACTTTGTATATTTGTATGAATAATATATATTAGGGTGGTGCTTAATATGGACATTTTTGATTTTCTTTGCTCTCAAAGGCTCAAATGCTTCCAAATTAATATAAATAAAATCTTTAATAATTTTAGCTTTTAATATAAACATATATGTAAACCGCACTTCAAATAAAAATCTCGTATATTTATTATTACATATGTGATTAAATAAATGCTTGCGCCATCTGTGATAACAGACTTGTACTAATGATGGCTATTTACTACTGACAATTTGAGCGTCAAAATCATCAATTAAATAAATATTTAGCTGCAAAATTAATTTTGATACCATGATGAATAACTATTTTGTTTAACAGCCTACATGGATTTAATTAGAGGTTAAGTGAATTATAAATATATTTAAATTTTATAATATTTGAGTTCACAAATGATATCACAGATGGCGCAAGAATGACATATGTTAATAATAAATATGTGAAACTTTTAGTTGAAGTGCGGACTATATAAATGTTAATATTAAGAGCTTAAACGTTCAGAGACTTTTTTTATTAATTTGGAAGCATTTGAGTCCTTGGGAGCAACGAAATTCGAAAATATCCATATCAAGGACCACCTCAATATATATATATATATATATATATATATATACAAGTATCTATTTTCCAATATTGGCTAAATTCAACCATCAGACATAAGATAACAAGACCATGTCAAAGTGAATACATTAGACAGCGTGTCTAATGTATCTCCTTGAATTAGATTCGATGTCAAATTGAACAAACATAATTAATTAATTAAATATTAGTTTACAGAATATATACACAAGACCTTTTAATTTCTATGTTGATATGCTCTAATTCAGTTTGAGACAGTTCTTTTATTTACATTGACTTTTACTAACTTTAAATGAAAGTTTTGGTACTTATTCGATTAAACGAGTTACTTTAACTTGAGGATGGAAAATTATGAGGTAGAGGAAAAAAAGAGTGCGCGTAAGGATCACACGCGATTGAAGTAAAACTTATTTGCTACTGTATAAAATAGCAAATTTAAGTTAAGTAGAAGTAAATATAACATATAACAATTTTGAATAATGTTTATTTGTAATATGGTAACACTCGTGATGCACACATTCATTAGTGTCGTCAATCATTATACACATTTTTATAATGATAAATTATAAATTATATATTTATGATTACATTAAAAATATGTATAATATTTACAAACAATAATGTAATCAAAGTCATACTTGAAATATGACATGATCGGTCTAAAGTAATTGCTGATTTATTAGCTGTAATATCTGTCTTGCCTAAAAAATTGAAGCCATACTTTTATATTTGTTTTATTTATCAAGCCCTGCACATAGCTTGATCTATGAATCATTTGCTTTTTTATGTGAACGTTAATGCAATAATCCTCATTAATATTACGAGGTAATAAATTAACCCTATTATTAATGTCAACAGGCACATTTATAATTTGGCTAACTATTCAAAATTGTCCATTTGCATGTCGCAATCGTCTAATTTGCATGAAACACAACCTAGGTGAAATTAACCTTTCAGATACAGTATCTAGTTTAGGTAGAAAATTTGGTATAGGTGGAAATACAAACCCGTTAAATTTACACAAAGTGGGAATTTTACCCGAATTTAATGCCTTTCGACAAGTTTGACATCCAACCTGATTATTTGAATCAATATTCAGAACACCATCATCAAGAATTAGTTTTTGAGCATTGTTTGATATTTTTAAGTCACTTTGAAACCAAAATTGATCACACACAAAGCATACGAGGTCTGTTCAAAAAGTACCCGGAATTACTAATAATTAAATTTCGCGGGTCTGGAGTGTCTGATTGTCAAAATTTTTTTTTTATTGTGTTGGTATACATGCCCCTAAAGTTTGATGAAATTTTCAGCTATATTTACTGTTTACTTTGTCTGTGGTAGTCGCTAAGGTTCGACGTGTTTTTCTGAGCTCGGCGATTTTTACAATGGAAGAATTGAAAAGTCAAAGAATTTGTATTAAATTTTGCGTAAAAAATGAAATAAAGTGTTGCAAAGTGCAAAAATTCACCAGATATGGCTCCGTGTGACTTTTTCCTATTCCCAAAGTTGAAGAGACCCATGAAAGGACGGCGGTTTTCCTCGATTGAAGAAAATCGCTGAGAGTGCTCAAGGACATATCAAAAAGTGAATATCAAGGGTGCTTCGAAAATTGGAAAAAACGCTGGCATAAGTGTATTATATCTGGGGGGGACTACTTTGAAGGGGACCACATTAATGTAGACGAATAAATAAATATTTTTTTGAAAAAACGAAAATTCCGGGTACTTTTTGAACAGACCTCGTACATAGCCAAAGCTATCATTTGTAAATTGTTTTTCAAACAATTTTCGTGCATTCCTAAACAAATGGAAGTCTTCATATGGAAGTTCAAATACCTTATTTGACTCTTGCAAAAGATCAGTTCTTGTCCACATTATATACATAATCATTAATTTGCAATTGACGTGATGTAGTTGCTGTATTAGAAAAAGTAGCAGCAGTACTTTTATCTTGAAAGATAACAGAATAATATGTTTAAATGTGAATAGTCGAAGCGTTTTTTAGGAGTCAAAAAGATTCTTACTCATTAACATCTAAAATGATACCTGGCTCAATATTTTCTAATAAATTGGCAGTAACTGATTGGCGATACAGTTTCATTCTTTGAGCAACTGCAGTATCTGTTTTACCTATAAAAATAAAAATAAAATTTTCCATTTTAGTAATTACCTCAAAGGTATATAGTAACCTCGGAAAACTCGAAAATACAAATTACTTCAATAAACTTACATTTCTTACGCAGCGCAGATTTTTCTTTTGTTTCATTATTTATTTGCGATTATTTGCACTACAATTATTTATGGGGGACCGGATAAAATATTCTTCCGATCCTGATATTTTTATTAACTCACGAATAATACTGCTAACCTATGTCGCGCCTAAAGAAGTTTTACTTCAAAAAATGTTTAGAGACCACGAGCCAAATACAAAACTCAAATGAAAGTGGACACATTAATTTTTGTTTTTGACATATGATTTGACATTTGATGTATTTTTTGTTTTGCTCGCAGACTAGATCGAATAATTGCGATAGATGCGCTAACTAGCGTCGTAAGCGCGAGTCATCTAAGCAATCACTTCAGCTTGGCGTAACAATTTCCGTTACATTTGTACGGATTTACACCCATGTCGCGCCTAAATAAGTTTTACTTCAAAAAGATTAAAGGACAAGACAATTTTCACTGATGTACTCTTCATTCTTTTTACAAAACGTCGCAGTAAATTTTTATCCCACATAATATTTGAATTCAATTCCGTTTAGCGTTTCGCACAAAACAAACAGAGCCGACCGGCACGTTTTCTTCCCTCGTTGTCAAGATTCTCGCTCGCTTGATATCACGACCGTAATAATTTTCAATAAAGCTTTTCAAAGGGTTTTCGTCCTTATTATATTATATTACGCCAAGTAGAAATGATAAGGCGAGTCGTTCTACTACTATATGCTGTCCGTCCGTCATTCTATCCCATTTGTTATACAAAGTCTGAAATTCTGTAACTGTGTAACCGTGTAATGTCCTGAGCAAACGTTTCTGTTTCTATCTGAACTCTGGACGTTTGTGATGTTTGCATGACGCGTTTGTAAAGCGTTGCCTTGTTTCCGGGTCGAAGGGCGCCCGGGTCGGAGGGATGATGAATGTGTGGCGTAAAGCTACAGATGTAATTGGAATATAATTATGATAGGTTTATATATAAACGGTAATAGATTATACATATCTATATTACATAAATCAACGTCAAGCGGGGTTACAGGATTGATTGTTACCAAGAAAACATTAGAAAACTATTTCTAAGTAGCATTTTGCCTTAAGGCAAGTTGCATTAACTTCCCGCATTAACGCGATTTTTATTAGATATTTTTGGAACAGTACTAAAACGTTGATGATTTTTAACTTCCCAAAGAAGAAGTTTGTTTTTATCAAAAAATCCGATTCGATATGTTTAGGCTTTCTCAATGTTTCAAGCCATTATAAATCGAATGAGACCAAATTTGGAAAAAGTATGTGTGTGTGTGTGAACAGATTTTTTGCCGTAAATAGACGTTTTCTTGAAAACAGCTGAACCGATTTCAAAAATTTAAAACCCATTCGATGTATCTCGATGAAGACTTTTATTCGAAGGATATTGGTTGGAAATCGATCTGATTAGTTTTCTGATTAGATTTCTGATTAGATCGGCCAGGCCGTTTTCTTGTAATAGAGTGTTAAATTTTTTTTTGACGGTCGATACCATAGTATTATAGATCATACCAAAATATTAATGTCCTACGACAAGTCGTTTAATTTTAAAAATTTGTCAAAGTTTGCAAAAATTAGTATCGTTTTTTCGGCATTTGTCAAAATTAGACCTTTCATCGACGTTTGCTCAAAAACGTCTGAATCGATTTCAAAAATTTAAAAGCCATTCGATGTATCTCGAAGAGGAATATCGTTTCTCAGTTTTGTGCGACAATCGGCCGAGCCGTTTCTTTGCAATTTGGAAAAAAGTGTTGAACTTTTTGTCCACATTTAAGCTCATACTACATAATCAATTTTAAAAAAGTCAAAAACTGTTCGAAAGATATTAGTTGGTAAATATGAACTTTAAAATTTCAAAATCTTTTAAGTCGTTTTTGATAAAACGTCGACGAAAGGTCAAAAATCAGCTCACGTACACACATGCACACACACTGACTTTTGTTTTAATTCAAATTTGGAAAACCAATTTTTCCTTCGAAAACTTATTTCAAATATCTTATATGTGGCAAAGAATGTGGATTACTAACTACCTACCAAGGCCAACTTGATATCAAGCAGTATGATATCAGATTTTCACGTGTTATTGTAGATTTAAAATATATTATCATTATCAACTAAAAATTGATTTTCGAGGGTATTGCTGAAAAAATAAAAGTAAAAAAAGACTATCAAGTATGGTAAAAATATTATAGCATATTTTAGTCTAAAAAAGACTAAAATAAAGCTCGCCTTCTAGAACAGTGATAGATAATTTGCTATCTAAATATGAATAAGTTAATATTTTTGTAAGAGATCCTATATTAGTGTTAAAATTATTTATATCCTTTGCAGGCTGGTGCAACCTTCCTGGTGTTGACTTGTGCCAATTTGGCAGGAATTTTTACGCATTGGCCAAGGGAAAGGGCTCAAAGACAAGCTTTTTTGGAAACTAGGCAATGTATTGAAGCCAGACTGACAACTCAGAGAGAAAACCAACAACAGGTAATAAAAATAAGTAAAACGCATCAATTTTTTAATGTTTGTAGTACAAAAATCTCAAAAATCGTCGAACATTTGGAATACTTTCCTTAAAGCAATGCAACTTTCCTTAAAGCAATGCAACATTTCTTAAAGCAATGCAACTTTCCTTAAAGCAATGCGCCACCAATATGTGATTAATTTAAAATCAAACGCAAATCACTTTTATTAAAAAATCGTCGTTCCCAGTCGTAAAATCGTGTTTGAATTTCGTGCCCAATCTGTTATTCCAGTTTTATCTGTTCTACACACCTTTTGTATAAATATCGTAAAAATTAAATAAACCTGACATATTTTTTTCAAGCAAAAAATATTTCTAATTACAGGTTGTTTGACTAAAGTTTTCGCTTTTCAGATTTATTGCAGCGAAAGAATTTTTTTAATGAACTCGCTTTAGAGATAAATAACTACTACAACGATCCTGCAAACAAAAGAGATTTTACAATGCATAAAAAATATACGGGAATGCGAAGTAAAAAGATTGAATTAATTAGAATAAATACAAGTAAACGTAGAACAAATATTCTCTAAACCTGTTTTGGTATTTTTCCCAAAATTCATCAAATAATTATAATAAAAGTCTTCTAAACGTCTAGTTTTTTTTTATATCATTTTGTGATTCAGTTGAAAATATTTTTTATACTATTTTATTATGTTCTTATTTCATTTATTCAATTTAATAAGGTATATTTTTTCCATATCATATATTTATAAAAATCTTATCTAGAATTAAACCTAAGGGTGAATTTACGTGCTCAAGTTAGTGGCGACTTCTATGGACTCGGAAAACAATTAAAATTGAAGTAAAGGCAAATCGCTCGTGTTTCCGATCAATTTCTTCTATAATTGCATTACAATTTATCCCGTTTTACCCGTCTTTCCTCTACCCTCAATACAAAATGCTTGATTTATTATAACAGAGACGAGCAGCTAGAAATTATTTTCTCCATTTTTCATATATTGTCTGTATTTTTAATTAATTTTATGTTGAACTGTTGAAAAACTTTCATTTCATATTAAACGGTACGAGCAGAGTATATTTTTATTGAAGTTTTCACGAACGAATTTCATGTAAAATTCATTTTGATAAATGTATGAGTTTATTTTGTACATACAAAAATATACATATATACAGAAAAGTTTTTTTATTGTAAATTGTAGGAAATGTTTTTGTGGTTTCTACAAATACATGCAATAATGTAAAGAATAATAATTTAATGAATATTATTAATTTTTAAATAATATTTTATTATTTGTTTTATTGTTTTAAATCAAATAAGAATTAATTTACTACCCCGAATTATTATTTTGAAATGAAAGTAAATTTTATTAAAGATGACTAAATTTTGTTAAACAATTTATGAATCCATAGCGCGATAATGTTTGTGGAACAAATTAAATAAGTTAAATTATTAAAACCAAAATTTTTAGAATTATGAAATAAAATATATTGTTGTATTATATACATAACATTTCTCGTTGCATTCATATCATTTTGTGCAGTATTCATGTTATTTTTTGAGCAATTGGCAACCAAATACAATTAGTCAAAAGTTTTTTTTGCACCTTCAGAACAGTTTATCGTTTTTGGACAAAAGTTTATTAGGCTCAAAATAAAATATAACTAAAACCTACGAATTTATTATTTAATATTCACAATATTTATATTATTTAATATTTTTTCTTTTTAGGAACGACTTTTATTATCAGTTCTTCCTCGACATGTAGCAATGGAAATGAAAGCTGATATTGCAGGACAGCCTAAAGAAGCACAATTTCACAAAATTTATATACAAAGACATGAAAATGTTAGGTGAGTAGATGTAAAATTCATTTATAATAATATTTTTATTTACACTGACTTCAGTAAAGCTTTTGACAAAATTGATCATAACATTCTTCTTACTAAATTATCTAAGATTGGTCTTAATTCTTCACTTATTTATTTTGTCAAGAGTTATCTTCATAATCGTAAACAGTTGGTCTATCTTAATAGATTCTTGAGCAATATTAAAAATATCAGTTCAGGCGTGTCTCAGGGATCCATTCTTGGTCTACTAATATTTATTATTTTTATTAATGGCATATCTGAAATTATTAGCTGTCCACATTTATTATTTGCAGATGATCTGAAACTATATCTCAAAATAAATTCTATTGATGACTGCTTATTATTAGTCTCAACTTGACCCTTTCAATTTTTGGTGTGTTTATAACAAATTACATACAATATATCAAAGTGCAAGATTCTTAGTTTTTTACATAATGATTACAAAATCTCTAACACCAGCATTGATAGATGTAATAAAATATCTGACTTAGGAGTTTTATTTGATTCTGGTTTGTTTTTCACAGATCATATAACTGATATTTGTAATAGAGCACATAAATCTTTAGGTTTGATACTGAGAAATTGTAAACAATTTAAATATACCAATGCACTTCTTTGCATGTACTATTCTATTGTACGTTCAAAATTAGAATATGGTTCGATTATTTGGTATCCTCATCAAATCAACATCTCTTATGCGATAGAGAAGGTTCAGCAAAAATTTCTGAAATATCTCTATTATAAAACATATAAAATTTACCCTGAACGTGGCTTTGACCACAACACTTTATTAAAAGAATTTGGTATTTCTTCCCTTGCCTCACGTTGATTTATCTGTACAATTATGTTCTTATTTAAACTTTGCAATAATTTTATAGACTGTCCTCTTATTCTTAATCGACTATCCTTTAATGTTCCAAGGCTATCTTCGCGTTCACAATTATTTTTCAATTATCCTACCCCTAAATCTAATTCTCACTTAAGTTCGCCTATTTTACTTATGTCCTCTAACTTTAACTTAATTAATAATGTAATAGATATTCACAACAGTTCATCTAATCAAATAATCTCCATCTGCACAATTTTTTTATTTTCTTTTGAAATTTCTTATTATTTTATTTTATTCTGTATATAAATATTATTGTTACATTCTGTATTATATGTAATTTTATGTCAAGTTTTTTATGTTAATAACTATATATTGTAATTTTGTATATAATTTTTATTCATTATGTAAAGTAATTGTATTTTTGAGTCCTCTTGGAAGAAATCTGTGGGCTATTTATTTAAAAATAAATAAATAGATTAATATTTGAATTAATATAAATAATTATGATTGAATTTTTCAGTATTTTGTTTGCTGATATCTGTGGTTTCACTAGTCTTTCGGATCAATGTACTGCTGAGGAATTAGTTCGGTTGTTGAATGAACTTTTTGCAAGGTGAGATAAATGATAATTTATATATATATATATATATATATATATATATATATATATATATTTACACCTTTATACCACACTTCTGCATTCACAATCAGTCACTTGTTTACTACACTAAAATTGTTCTAGAAATTCTTCTTATGGTTTGCCGGGCCAGCTAGTATATAACATGTGTCTATATATGTATGTGTGCGTGTGTAATCTATTAATAGACATTTATCTTTTCATTATAGATTTGATCGCTTGGCTGCCGAACACCATTGTCTTCGTATAAAGTTACTGGGCGATTGTTACTATTGTGTTTCCGGGCTTCCGGAGCCGAGACCGGATCACGCCCACTGTGCCGTCGAAATGGGCCTCGATATGATCGATGCCATTGCGTAAGTAAATGATTGAAATTAATTTTTTAATATTCATTTCATTAAAATTTAAATAAAAATTGAAATAAGTTCAGATCAAGATAAATGTCTCTGATATCGACAGTACGGGTTAAACAATTCGTATTGCACTAAAAAAAATTTTTTTGTACTGATTTTTAGAATTGTCGATTGGTTTTTGGGGAAACAGGTCCAGTTGTACTAGTGGTACATAGCAAAAAATTGTCAACGTGTTTTGTTATGCAATAAATAAACATTGCTAGATTTTACTAATTTTTATATAACTTGCATAAACTTGCATAAACTAATAGTTGTTATCAATACTTGCATAAACTTTTTTTTTATTATTGCTAAATATCTCTACGGACTTCAGCATAAGAGATGCTGATAATAATAATAACTATATTTGAGTATATTCCTATATGACAAAATAGAAAACCTTTTTACAATATCAATGTCTACATACATGAGTATTACGTACCAGTTACCGACTTACGTAATTTTGTGTGAATTGTACCAATTCCGTCATGTGTATGAAATTTGCATAACACGTCGAGAAGATAATAAAACTAGAATTTCTGGAAGGAAATTTAATCATAAATTATTTTCTTGCCGACTGCTTAAATAAAATCATATATATGAACTTGTCATTTGCACGGGGATTTAAATTTTATGTGATCAGATAAAATGCAGACAATGGTCACTTGAGTAAGGAAAAGTTTGTTTTCTATATAAAACCAGACATGTTTTATACCAAAATTGGGATAAGTATGTGTGTGTGTGATATTCTATATGAGACAATACAACATTTCTATCATAAAATTTAAGTGGCGAAATGAAAAATAAATGCAACTCTGCAACTGATGATAAACTAAAGCTAATTAATATTATCCACTTGCCCATTATTTTATATTTTGCTAGTTCATAATTTGTTAGTTTACTGTGACTTATTTACCGGGCTTGTTGTATGTAAATTTCGTTTAAATTTTCAACATTTAATAACAAAAGCATGAAGTGAACTTTTCAAACTGCTGCACAATAATAGAATAGTTGAGCGTTGAAATTCATCTCGAATTGTATTTGCGCTCAGGGAACCATAAATATCTCAAGTTCGCTGTTGAAAATTTGTCGTACTAGGATTATAAATTATTAACAACTTTGTTAGGTGAGATCAGAATGAATTATTTGAGATAAAACTAAAGTTAAACTTGTTCAAATATAATAAGCATTATTCTGATTAGGCTTCTTTGGATAAACATAATGATTTCTATCTTGCAATAGTAATGATGCATCTTCGAATAAAATATTATTCTAGAAATCTTCAATGCATATAATAAAATTTTCGAGACAAACTTTGGGGATAATTTTCTTGAGAATAACTTTTTATTAAATTTTCTGAGAATAACTTTTTATTAAAAATGGTTTACGGTTCTTTATAACCTAATATTTTTTTGTTAACCATCTAAAAAACAAAATATTTACAATCAAAGAACTCTTCAAAACTTGCAAATTCTTGGCATCACATTTAAGGCTTTGATGAACAAGATTTTAATTTACTACCCTTGGATGTTTAAATATTTAAGTTTTGCTTTTAATCGACTCGATTTAACAACAACGATTTTGTTTGAATAACAACGACTCGATCTAACAATAACTCGATTTACCATAAGCTTGACCCAACAACGATTCTATCTAACAACTCGATTTTTAACAATAACGACTCCAATTGAACGACAACGACTCGATTTGAACAACAACGACTCGACTTGAACAAGAACGACTCGATTTTTAACAAAATTGCAATTTGACAACAAATACTCGATTTGACAACAACGACTCGATTTTTAACATTGACTTGATTCTAAGCATCAACTCGATTTTAAGCAACGACTCGATTTAAAGCAATGACTCGATCTGACGCCAACTCGATCTGATGTCAACTGGATCTGACGTCAGCTCGATCTGACGCCAACTCGATCTGACGCCAACTCGATTTACCATAAGTTCGACTCAACCAACAACTCGTTTTTTTAACAACGACTCGATTTTTAACAACTACTGCATTTTTGGCAACTACTCGATTTTTAACAACTACTCGATTTTTAACAACAACTCGATTTTTAGCAACGACGACTCGATTTTCTTAGCAACAACAACTCCATTTTTAGCGGCAACAACTCGATTTTTAACTGGATTTTTAATAACAACTCGATTTTTAACAACAACTCTATCTAACAACAACTCTATCTAACAACAACTCGATTTTTACCAACTCGATTTTTAGCAACGACGATTAGATTTTCTTAGCGACAACAACCCGATTCTTTACAACTCGATTTTTAATAACAACTCGATTTTTAACAACAACTCGATTCTTAACAACAGCTCGATTTTTAACAACAATTCGATTTTTAGCAACGACGACTCGATTTTCTTAGCAACAACAACTCGATTCTTTACAACAACTCGATTTTTAACAACTGGATTTTTATTAACAACTCGATTTTTAACAACAACTCTATCTAATTACAACTCTTTCTAACAACAACTCTATCTAACAACCACTCGTCTTTTAACAACGACTCGATTTTTAACAACTACTTGATTTTTAACAACTACTCGATTAGAACAACAACGACTTGATTTTTGATAACGACTCGATTTTCAACAACGACTCGATTTAACAAAAACGACGATTTGATTTAACAACAACGACTCGATTTTTAACAACGACCCGATTTGACAGCAACTCGATTTTAACAAGGACTCGATTAGAACAATGACGACTAGATTTTTAACAACGACCCGATTTGATAGCAACGACGACTCGATTTAACAACGACGAGTCGATCTAATTTCAACTCGATCTAACTTCAACTCTATCCGACAACAACTCTATCCGACAACAACTCTATCGGACAACAACGCTATCCGACAACAACTCCATTTTTAGCAACAACTCAACGAACTTAATATTAAAAAATTGAAGGACCAATGTTATGGCAAGACTATGTAACTATAACTATAACTATAACTTTCCATACTAAATATCGACAAAAGCCATGTGCTTGGTGTGCAGTCAGGTGCTTTTCTCAGGTTTTCCGAAAAAAAAAACAAACCTAGAAACTCCATAAATGACAAAAAAACAATCTTAGATAACAGGGTTTTTAATAACATACGAGTGACGTTGCAGTTTATGTGTAAAACGCCAGAATGCACTGCAAATACATGACATGATTTAGTAGCGTAATGTATGCAAGTTTGAGCGTAACATGGCCTTGCCATAACATTGGTCTGCTATGCGTCAGAATCGGTCCCTAAATTGTCAGAAATAAATAAAACTACTAGTAGTAGTAGTAGTAGTATAATAATAAATAAATAAAACTAGTTCATGCATGATTTTTTTCCTGTAATGATAATTAGTATCACATTGATATTACAGATTAGTCCGAGAGGTGATGGCAGTGAACGTCAACATGAGGGTCGGCATTCATACCGGCCGTGTTCATTGCGGTGTTTTGGGTTTAAGAAAATGGCAATTTGATGTTTGGTCAAATGATGTCACATTGGCCAATTATATGGAAAGTGGAGGAATACCAGGGTGAAAATACAATTATAAATTTTCCGCAAAAAACTTCAGTAAAATATTACTTAACAATATTTTTCTTGCAGACGAGTTCATATAACTCGAGAAACTTTGCAATGTCTTGATGGTGATTACGAGGTTGAAGAAGGTCATGGTGGTGAAAGAAATGGTTATTTAAAGGATCATAATATTCAAACCTATTTAATTGTACCTGGAGATACCTACAGACAACAGGTAAATTGTAAAAAAAATTTATAAAATAAATTTAATACGTCAGGAAAAAAACATTTTTGGTACGTTCAATTATTTTTCTAATATTCGAAGTAAAGATAAATTATAAATAATTCATATGGGGTATGTTTAAATAATTGAAGTATGTATACTTTTATGTCAACTATGAGCATAAATCAGCAGTAATTTATTTAAATTTCTTCTACTTTTAATTTTCAATTTTATTCCAAATTACTCTTTTTATACCTCCGTATAAATTATGGTGAAATGAATTTTCTTCAACATAAGTTGTGCCGACACGAATCACATTTATACGTACTATAGATGTGTAATTTGCGTATAAATTAGGCCATTACCGAGACCGACATTAATAAAAATCGAATTTTCTTTTCAGGAAAACAAACCGCAACATTCGTTCTCGATGAATGGAAATATTTCAAAGGAAATGCGAATGATGGGCCATGGGTCGCAGCACGGGAAAACTACTTCCAAGTAAATATGAAAAAAAATTAGAAAAAATAGCTTATGTTATCACGGAATGTCCTTACGTCCGGAATGTACTCCTAAACTACTGAATTGATTTTAAATTTTATTTGCTCGTCGTGTGCATTTATATCCAACTTAGGTTATAGGCAATATTTAAAGTCTCAGCTTATATTCGAAGTATTAAAGTTTTAGAAATTTCAATTAATTTTGACAGCAAAAAAACACTATGAAATGACAGTTGTCAGTTTCTGGAAATATATATATTATATAAATTATACTTATTTAATATCTAAATTATTTATATATTATATAAATTGATACGACAAGGTTCCAAAAATACTATAAATCACAATTTACAAACAAAATATTTCATTATAATAAATTTTATAATTATAATTATTTCTGATAGAAATAATCTTAATAAATTTAAAATGAAATTTTTAACAAAGATGTAATAAATTGGAGGAGTTAATTCTCGGATGAAGTAGAAATGTTATGAGTCTTTGTTATGTCTTTGCTGTTCGATTGACTCTATTTTTTTAATTTTTTTCTATTTTTTATTTTTTAGGTTGGGTTTTGGAGAACCTCCTGGTGAAGACAAAGATCCTGAAGATGAAGTAAATGAGTACCTAATGAGAGCAATTGATGCCCGAAGTATAGATCGTCTGAGAGCAGAACATTGTCAAACAATACTTTTGACTTTTAGGCAGAAGGAAGTCGAAAAAAAGGTAGGAAATATTTTAGTGAAAATAATATTTATATACAGAGTCAAACAAATATGTAAGAGAATTAAGCGAGGAATCTCCCACTTGATGATTGAAAAAAAAGGCCATACGATCTTAAGTAAAATGTCAAAAAATATAAAAAGAGATATTTCTTAGGAGATAATTTTTTAAACGCATTTACGCCCAGCATATTAAAAAAAACATATTATTTTGATTGGCAAATAAAAAAATATACAGAGTGACCTTGACATCAAACGGATACGAAGTGATAGTATTGATCTTGATTGTCTTGAAAAAATTAGAGAAAAAATATCTCATGCTCTAAGGAAATTATAAGCTTTTAGGTGCATTCTTTGGTGAAATTATGACTAATTTTTTGGTAGTGCAGTTAAATTTAGATAATTTTGTTTGAAACCATAACTGTAATAACAGTTCTAAGACCACAGTACAAAAATACAAAATTTGCTCCAAGTTTGCAAGAATTAAGATTTTTTGTTGAACTATAAATTTAAAAATTTTAATATCGGTCAACATTAAAGGTTGAGGCTCTCTTTAAAAAAAATGTACTAAAGTGTGTTGGAAAGTTTTATCAAAAGTTGGAGTGGATCTGATTTTCAAGGGTCAGGACTAAGAGCAACCTAGAAAAAAAAAGGAAAAAATATTGTTGTTTGGAAATTATGAGCTTTCACATGCATTCTAAAGCTTTGGTAAAATTTTGACCAATTTTCGGTTATTGTGGTTGAATTTTAATAATTTTGTTTGGAACCGTAACCATGAATAACATTTCTAGGATCTCAGTACAAAAATACATCATTTGCTCCAAGTTTACAAAAATGAAGACTTTTTCTTGTACTATAAATTTTAGAACTTTTAAAATTGATCGACTTTGCTTTAAAAAATGTATTTAAGTTTGTTGGTAAGTTTTATCAAAAGATAGCGTTATCTGATTATCAAGGGTTAGGACTAAAGCAACCTAGAGGAAAAAAATATTCGAAATTATGAGCTTTCACGTGCATTCTAGAGCTTTCGTGAAATATGACCTATTTTCGGATATTGTGGTTAAATTTTATTAGTTTTGTTTGGAACCATAACCAAGTATAACATTTCTAAGACCACAGTACAAAAATACTTCATTTGCTTCAAGTTTGTAAGAATTGCCTTTTGTTGAACTATGTATTAAATTTTTTAAACTTTGAGAGGTCATTCTGTAAAAAATATATACTGAAATGTGTTGGTACATTTTATCAAAAGATGGCGTTGATCTTTTTTAGAATTAGGATTATGGTCGACTATTAATAAGATCATAACTTTCTTATTTAATTAAAAAACTAATCAGCCATAAAATTTATATAATTTTCTTTTAACAGCAACGATTTACCTACCATATAATTTACAGGAATTATTATTATAATGTCAAAGCATCTTATTAATTATACAATTTTATTTTTTTTTATTTCATTTTCAATACAAATTTGAAATTTATAATAATAAAACTGTAATATACAATAATTGTAATTCAACTATTATTTCTTTGTTCTTCTAATTAAAATTAAAAATAAATTTTACTATTCATAAAATTGAACACTAAATAAATTCTGTCAAAAGCTAAGTTTGCCGGTAATTTTTTACAGAATATTTACGAACCGGTTGCAACAGGTTTTTCGGTAAAAATACTATTCGAAAACCGGTTTTCTGAAATTAGGTTTTAGAATGAACCCTATTTACCACATACTTTAAAGGTAATTTTATTACAAATGCCAAAGCATCTTCTTATTAATTAAACAACTTCATTGTTTTTTTTTTTCAATGTTTTCATATTTAATTATTATCTTTTTTTATTTTTGACATTTTATTTAAAATCGAATGTTTTTTTTTTGTTCTGCTTAGTTGGTTCAGGATTTGTTTCATTTTTAATTTTGTATACTGGATATCGAAGCGTATTTCCATACCGGTAAAAATTTTCGATTGCTTTTAGAACTTGAAAGACTAGTCTTTCTCAATCTCAATTAAGACAAATTTAACAAAATTCGTTTTCCTGACTTTCAAACGAAATGTCTTTTTATCGATCTTGTATTTGTTGCTTTTTTTTCAGTCAGCATCAGTATCACGGTAAAAAAATCTGATAATTTTGTAACGAGATTTAACAACTACATATTTTACAAGTAAATTTATTTTACACACACAATTTTATTAAAAACTCTAAAGTTTTTGTAAATAATAATTTATTTCAAATTCATAATAACAATAACATAATAAATTTAAAAAAACTCACATTTTTTATAAAATATATCTATAATGAAGTCGAAGAACTTTCTTCCTCGGTTTTAATTTAGTTACTTACTAGACTTAAAATTTTAATACTTTTTTTTCTGTATATGCTTTTTTAATTCTTTTATTTTGTATTTTTTCATCCTACTTAGTTGGTTCAAGATTTGTTTCATTTTTAATTTTGTATACTGGATATTCAAGGGTATTTCCATTCCGGTAGTTGCATGCCACAAGAGTATAATTAAACATCATATTATAATCATCATCATGTTTTTTATAAGTACTGACAGCACATCCTACTTTGTTGTATTTCCCCAGATTAATTGGGTATAATGTCCAATATCTTTACCACTAAAATAAAAATTTTGTCACAATTAGTAAAAAAGATATTTATACTTGTAAGTTAGTAGATATTAGGGTTTGGCGGTTTTCAAAGCCGGTTTTAAAAACCGTTTTTGGCGAAAATTATGGAGTTCGAGAACCGGGTTTTAGTGAAAAAACCGGTTTTCACTGTATAAAGGAAAATGACATATATAGCCAAATAGAAAAGATAGATGTAAGCGGTTTGATTCTTGAAATCATATCAGTTCAATAGCATTTGATATCTTATCAGTCTTCAATGGTTCCCCAGAAAGGTTTGTTTATATTAATTGAGAATTTTATACCACTGTACATATTAATTTAAATCAGTGTGACTTCTTTTTGAAGAAGTAACTTCCTCTACTCAAACTTAAAAAAATGAGTTTGAAACGCTAGAAGTCACAAATAAAAGAACAAAAAACTTAGAATTATTATATCAGGCTTAAAAACAAAAGCATAATTTGGTCGCAACTAAGAGAGTATTTTATTCAGGAAATTTTGTGAGTAAACAAAGGACATGTCTAAGTAGCAATTCAATAGACGTTCTCAGTTTTTTGAATCATATTTTATTAAGGGTTACATGGGTTTCGCGGTTTCAAAAAAATCAAAAAAAATTTTTTTTCTTATTAAATTCTATAACATTCTCTATAATTTTGTCCTAAATTTTTAAGTTGATACGACTAATAGTTTCGGAGATACAGCCTTGAAAAGGTAGACGCTTGAGGTGCGCCTTTATTGTGTCTTAAAACTTTAAACGCGTTTTTCTGAAAAACTATGTTTTCAAAGACGGTTGTCAAGATTTGTTAGGAACTACTCAACTGATCTTGATGAAATTTTACACAGGTTTTCAAAATATCGTTTACAAGGTATTGAACGAAGTATTTTCTTTTTGTATAATTACAATTATTTAAAAAAAAAAGAATGTCAAGAAATTTTCATCGAAATTTGCATTTTTTTTATAAAAACGTCTGCCAAAAATCCATTTTCATTTTTTTCTTTTTTCTTCGTCCAATACTAGTTTATTGTCTTTACTAAAACACGTATTTTTTATTTTTCGGATAATCTGATATGAAAGAAGTTTCTGATGACACCTCTTTTTCGAGGGACTGCCATTTTTAGATAATGACCGCCATTTTGATTTTTTTTTTGAAAATTTTACAAAATGTTTTATTGAATATGTATCTTTAAATAAAAAAAAATCATTTAAAATATTTCATGTTTTATATGTAAAAAAACATAATTGAAAAAAAGGGGTTTTTTTGCCCGAGGAAACCCATGTAACCCCTTAAACAAAAAAAAACAATTAGATGTGTAAAATTAATTAATTAAAATTGCTCGGAACAGACAATACGCTAGTTTAGCTTGATTGTTTTTAAAATTAAAATTGATATTAACAAGTATGTATCTAAATTTTTTTATTTTTTTTTAATTTATGATTTTTTTTATTTAAAAATGTATTATTTTTATTATTCGAAAACTTTCTTTTCACTATCATAAAAATATTTTCATTCTTATATGTGAAATGATGCATGAATAACGAATAATTATTTTCAAAGTTATTTAATCAAGATA